AAAGTTAAAAAAAAACTTTATTTTCTTTAAAAAGAAAGACAACGCCCGCACTAGGAATATATCCTGTGTCGCGGGGGACTTAACAAACATACAAGAATTGGACACAAAGAAAACCCAGACTCAGAACAAAAATTTGTGGATAACACAGTGTTGTCCCATGTGGGGATCTAACCCACAACACTCAGCGCAGTAGGGAGCGGCGAGGTGACCGCTTAAACCACCGCCATCCGTGCGGTCATGTGTCATGTATTCATTCACTGTTCATTACTTTTATGTTATTTAAAAGTTGTATAATGTGTAAGGTTTAGAGTTTGTGAAGTTACGTCTTGTAGAGTTAAAGCTTCTATAGTTAGAAGCCGTCTTTAGCCTATCGGAGGGCCTGGGCACATTGGGATAATGGGGCCCCTACGACCTTCACTGATTAGTGTTCTGTTAGAATAACCAAAAAAGGTATTATAATCAGCCATATTCGCTGGATTTTTATAAATAAATATGGTTTTCGGTAATAAATATCGATTATCGAATTAGGTAGGTAGGTAGGAATTAGGCGGCCTCTATCAATCGAGGAGCCCTGGGCACGTGCCCAGAGTGCCCAGTGGGAAAGAGAGGCCTAGTTAGAAGTTGTTCTCTACATGAGATCTGACAACTTTTTAACAGTACGAACCATATGGTCTCGTGTTGGCAACATTTTACATAAAAATGTTTTTGGTGTGATTACTATTTTAAATTTTACTTACTTTCCTACTTCCTTTAAAGCTTGCGTGACAAAAAAAAAGGAAAAGGCAACTAGGCGAGATCGGTACAGATCAACAACGGCCAATACAGTAAGACTGCCTCTCTGATCTACCTGCGATCTAACGGTATCACCATTTTGAGGTAACATACCACACAATTTACTTTAGGGTTAGGTCTTTTGGCCTCTTAGAGTGTTAGTACACTCGCTCTCTCAACTCTATTATTAAGAGATCTTTTAATCAAAGCTTCAAGTCACATCTTTCTTCGTACCTACCAACATGTAAAATAAAAACACAAAGCAAATGATATACCTTCCTATTACTAGAACAACAAAATACTGGTTTTGTATGTTCTCAGCAAGATAAAATTACATCGTAGATATTTGTAACAACAATATGTATTATTAAACCTATCTAAGTTTATTAAATTCTATCAACGTGAAATAGCCTAACCTCTATTATTGCTGAAATATACCTGCGTATTCTTATTATTTTAATATTTTAAATTCAACATCTGCTTAGGTAATGATTAGCATCGCATACTAAACTAATTAGGCATACCTGTATGAAAACTGTTATTACGTCTAATTGTAGACAATAATTAACTTATAAATACTATAATAATAAACTAGATAGCTACCTATCTCTATACAAGTCAAAGTTATTGAGTAAATAATAATATGGGTATATAATTGGGTTTGTAATTACTACATCATAGTTCGAACATACTTAATGTTGTTGTATTGTGAAAAAACATCGTTGATTAAATTTATCCTTTAAATCACTACACGTTAAACAGACAGCATCCGTCTCGGCCGATATCATATACCTTGGACTTAGAGTCAAAGTTATCATCATCATCATCAACAGCCTTTAATAGTCCACTGCTGGGCATAGGCCGTTTGTTTGCAGTGCTGTTGTCATGCTTAATTTTTTTCCTAAGTCAGCTCTTAGGACACCCACGGGATGAACAGGGGTGGTGACACTCTGTATTCTTAATCTATCACCACACGGACGAGAGTCAACGTAGCATCAACAAGCAAACAAAAGAGTCAACATATGTTAATACATTTGTATTCTACTATCTTGAAATTCAGACAACATAGGCGCTTGTTGTTTTTAAAAGTTTAAAGATGGTTTACCAACATGTCATAATATGTAGTGTTTAATAATAAAATTCAACTTACGATTTTACCAGCTTACAAACAAATGTAGCATTATATTTTGTAACAATGATCCAGGAAATCTAAAGATAAGGCCTTTAATTCTGATATTAGAAGTCTAAACAAACAGAAACTAACAGAGAACATTCCCGGCACCTATTCTTTACCTGATTCCATTCACAGTACTTTCTGTAGTTTATGATAACTTATTTAAAAATTTGGAGTTATTAAGACCATCTCAGAATAATCGTCAAACTATTATTTAGGAAGGAGTTATTACAGCTCAGATATGGAGGTCGAATAGAATACAGTCGACTAGAACACTATACGGAAAGTAGCTACGCAACATCTTAAGGAAGATTACTAGTGTTTTCTACAGCTCTACTAGTGTTTTCTATCTACCAGTAAGTAGGATCTCCAATGCACACTAGTAAAGTTTTTGATATATATGTAGGTAAGAGTAAGCGATAAGAGAGAGCAATCGATAAGTAAGCACATACGCAACAACTTTTCATAAAGTACTGAACTGTCTTTAAACCTGGTTTTAATCTTTGAAAGGGAAACGGAACTTGACATCCATAAAATATGGTCAGGTATTGATTTACAAACTACAAAACAATTATTTACAAATATTTATTTTATTGTATGCATTTGTTTTATTTGGTTGGGTTTCCCAAAGACTGATTGCACTATGAATAAATCTAGCTTTGCCCATTATTAATTCTAAGTTTATTTATGTTAATTATACTTAGATTATGCAATTGAAATTGTAGGTTTTCCCTCAAGGTTTGTTTATTTATTTAAATCTGTGGTCGCGGCTATTGGATCTAGTATTACACTACCTATCTACTTTCTAGGTCGGTCTCAATAGAAAGCCGTAGTATTCAATAACTGGCGATTGTAAGCGATACCCTGCGGCTTTATTTTGGTTAAGTTGTTCGAAAGATGCGACAAATTAAGTAGGTGCACAGACCACCCCATCTTTTTTAATAGGCTGAATAATAGAATGCTTGTAAAAATTTATCGAATTTACTTTTAAAACGTGTTTTTTCTTTCTCAAAAGATCTAAGCCCTGACAATAGGTAGAACCGTTCTGACAGCAACATTTGCTTCGGGTCACTGAACTGGTACCTAACTTATCTTGTATCTACTAAGGTATCAAAATAACAAAACAATTTAAGGTTAAGTTAATAAAGATTGTTGCCACAATCTTTGCGTAATAAAATGTAACACATTTTTTTTCATAATTACTAAATAAGTCCTTTTTAAACTTTAATAACATATTTTACTTAGTATGACTGCCGAAACAATCGCGGCAGGATGATTATTTACTGAAAAAGGGCCTTTATCGGTTCCGAAACTAGTCGGTTATTCCTGAAATGTAATTTATGTAACATAATTTATTAACTCCAAAAGATACATACAAAGAAACACATGAGTTGTAACAATCTCAACATGTAGGACAACAATTTTGTTGACCTTTGGTACCCAAAGTAAGATTTAACTTGTGGTATGGGTACCAGGAAAATACACACGTCAGTAAAGCCTTATAAGTAATTAAATTATTATTTATTTCACGATAATTACTTATACATTTTATGTTGGCTGACATGATGTACCTACTTATAGTTACAGTTGTTTTTGTAACTTCAATTAAAAACAGATACCTAAATACAAAATCAGCATTAAAAATATATCACTTGCTAGACTCTGTTTAATCTTTATTATTAATCTTTAAGTTCCAAAAAATTTAACTTATAGAAATTTGTATAATTTATTTAATATTATAAGTTTTTAGACTTTTTTTAAGTACCACGTATCGCACATACTTTGAGGTAGACCGCAGGAGATCTAATGTAGGTTTTTATTCCCCAAATGCACAAATGACTGCATTGATGGTGCTACATTTATTAATCTCAAGGTTTAAATGTTTTATACTAATAATACACGAATACAATTGCATTTCCTAACTTGTACGCAGGATTTTTTTAATCAACAAGGATCTTTCGTGTGCACGTTATTACGTTATTGGGTTTTACACTGTAGGTGCAAAAAATGTTTCTGTGCTTAATTAATTTACTTTGACGCACCTGTTAATAGGTAATCGTACCTACATTTTCCTACTTAAAAAAGTCAATTAACTATTTCGATTTGTTTAAATTTTATGTATTAACGATTTACTCTGATAGGAAACATCATAAGCAAAGCAATGTTCTCATGTATTCTCTAGAGACAATTGCATGAAATGGTAAGAATCTATTGGAGATTATTATAGTAGCTTAGTACGTAGTTGCAGTTTGCAGTAAATCTCGTGTCAGAGACACTATGACTCTGACGTGGCCTAAGTACCTACGAGTATTCGTAGCGCCGTTTGGCGAAGCGGCTAAACCCTTGAAAACCTGCGATGTATCATAGAGTAACTTGTAACTAACGTGTTACCGATAGTTACCGGTAGGCGATGCCCTGGATTACATCGATAGTAAACAAAGAAGGATAGTAAACACTACCATTGAGTAGGTACGTGAAACTGCTCAATAAAGTTTTAATGAGCTTGTTTAATCTCCCCAGTGAAAGATATTAAAATGAAAGTGAAACTAATAAGATGCGACCATAGAACAAATCGCAGTGAAATTTTTATAAGTGGAATCAAACTAAGAGCAACTATGCAACTTTTTCGGTTCACAAATAAATTTTAAAATTATGCTTATGATGAATGATGATAACATATACACTTAAGCGGTACATTATTTAAAACCAAATTCATGTTTGATGTATGTTATGTAAACCAATCAGTGTTTATTTGTTCGTATTGTGTAAACTGTTGTATCTCTAATCCGATCATTATGAAATATTTACAACAAACGACATAAGGTATCTTTCAATAAAAAAGTACTTAGTATTCTCGAAGTATGAAACAAATTACTTTGACGCGAGCGAAGCCTCGGGCAAAAGCTAAAAAAAAATATTATTTAAATAAACATTTAATATCAAAATAACCTTTCGTAGAGTTAATCATTTTAAACTTTCAAATTTAATTTTATATTTATGTCGTTTATTTGGTATAATAAAATGTTTTAAAATGACTAAGTAGATATATACTTACAAAAATTAGGTGATGCCACATTTTACTGTTTAGCTTGTTTTACTACACTAATATTTAAATGCTTAGGTCCGTTATATTGTCAAAGAATACTGCACAACACTTTTTGATTATCTAGTGACGAAGTTTGCGTTACAATTTCCCGCCCAGTACTGCGCTCGCGCCTCCTTTGCCGTTCATAATAATGGAGGCGAACGGCGGCCGCGCTTGCATTTTATATAACATCGCCAATCGCTACACAATATATAATTTACCTTAAATCAACTTGTTTTGTTTTACACAAGTTATCTAAGTCTTAAGCTCTATCATAATTTACACAATTATTCATCCGTGAAATTATCTATTCTCGGATTGTAAAACTAATTGTTGCGTTGTTATTAATATTCCCAAATAAAAAATGTGTAAAATCATGTCTGATCAAGATTAGACAAAAAAATACGCATTTGTCCCAAGGTACCAGAAGCAACTATATCGAGTTCAGTCAAAAAGAGCATGCGTGTGTTTTGGTGACGTGTTTTACAAAAAAAAACATAGGTAACAATAATTACCTATATCATTTTTTGTAACTGTGTTTTTTATCTATTTACGTGTACGGAGCCACTAACAACAATAATTTCACCTATATTTCAATATGATATGATCATGCCAAGGTATGTAATCAAGTCTTTATTAGCCAAAGTTATTAGCAGACCACACGTACGAGTATACACAGTTTTATAATAAAATATAATTATAGTTAAATTATTGATTAGCTGCAGTCTCCGTCATAAATGAAACAATGTTAACACTGAAGCTCGTATCCGGAATGATTCTCTCCACACTCCGCACTAACACATGTACCTACTTGGTGAGAAAAGCCCAAAACGTACTAAAATCAGACACTTTGATCATTATAACAAACCTCTCCACTTGTCTACAGTGATTATTGTGTTATTTTATGTATTTCGTATTGAGTATGGCTTTGCAATCGTGTCTTTTGATTTAATTCGTTCATGTGTCTATTTGTCCTATGTATAAATTATTTTTTTACCAGAGATCAACCTCATTAATACTTTGTATGTTGCAGTTCGATGACTTAATTTTTATGACATGTTTAAATTTGCGAAGAGTTCATATTTATAACATTTCATGTAAACGCTCACTTCATAGCTACCTTCAGTTACATACGAAATTAAAACAAAACTATTGAAATGCCTTAATTAACTCCAAGGCATTTCGTGGGTTACCAAAACTGTCAAATTGATTTACCTTATCATTCACCTTACAACTTAATAACTCACCAACACCAAATAAAGACATTCAAAGCCAACAAAAGATCTACCTTGGTCATTGACCTTAACAGTGGAAATTATATAATACCGAAAAATTAAGAGCCAAATAGCAAAATTGATGTGATTAGTCTTCTTCGCAAATCATGAGAATACTCGTTCTGTTCCTTTTGTTTGCTATTGACATCTATATTTCATCAACAATGCATGAACCTATTATTGGACAAAATAAAGAGACAACGTTTTGAACATCGCTAATCTACATTTTGTTTCTTTGTTATAACATCTTACTGACAGTTATAACTGTGTATGTGTTAATATTTTTTTTAAAGTTTACGGGCAAACGGTTTTTAGTTGGTTGGAGTCCGACATAACCATATTTAGGTATGTACTTATATAGACTGTGTTCTGCAGAAATGATTGAAATCCACTAACCGGACAACATTAAATTCTTAACTAATTATAAAATAAACCTATTTATAAAATTTATAGGGCGATATTCAAATTTTATTACAAGATTCGATTTTTTTTATTTCCACCTGTCAATGATTCCTTAAGCAATATGAAAACAGATAGTTTTGAACAGTTAATTGGTATCATTGACCTGTTTATGACTATCTAATAGAATTCGTTTATATTCTATTAGTAAATTATTATATTATATACTAGCTGACCCCGCAAACGTTGTTTTGCCATATACATTATGTCGGTTTACCATAGCAGTGCCATCTATTGATTACTTACTCAATCCAGTCGAAAAGTATCGACATCTGTTAGAATCTTTTGGAGTTAACAGATAATTGTGACTGTCAATTAATTATAGACCAATAATTTGCAATAAAATAAAATTGCGACTATAATTAAAGATCTAAGCTATCCTATCTCTTAAGTTGGACCAGACTGCTCACGGTGTGCCAATTTAATTTAAAATCGGTTAAGTAGTTTAGGAATCCATCGCGGACAAACATCGTGACAGGAGATTTATATATATTAAGATAGTAAATTGTTCGTTAAAACATGTAGGTACATTACCTACATATTATAACCAATAATTTATTTTTTATTTATATTGTAGTAAAGTTAGTCGTTTATCTTATATTGATAATATTAGTTTCTGACGTAAGTTTTTAATTGCTTCTTTCAGGTACTATGCAAAAACCTTGCCAGAAAAACCGAAGTCAACACAACATTTTGCTAGTAAGCATCAAAGCAATATTTTGTTAGTAGGTAAGCACAAAACTAAACAAAAAGTTCCTGTCTGCCTCGCTGCATTTTATGGCATACTGAAAATCAAACAGGGCCATACAAAAAGGGGTTTCCAATCGATACGCAGCCACACGAGAAACTACACCAGAAAAATGTGGAGAAGACCTAATATAAATACTTAGATTTCCGTTCGGATAGAGAAGCTGTACAGAAATTTATTTTTAAATTTCAGCCGTTAGAGAGCCATTATTGCAAAGGCAAAATAAAAAGGAGAATATATTTTGATCCAAGCCGAAACATCTCTAAATTATACAAGATGTATAAGGACCAGTCGATGCCGGGATACACGGTAACTAAGTTCAGCCAGAAAGGTATTTAATACCTCCTTCAATATTGGGTTCGGTTTACCACGCCAAGATGTGTGTTCGGACTGCTTGCAGCTGTTAGAAAAGTTAAAACTACAGATAAGTGAGAAACAGAAATTGCTTACGCTGTATAGTATACACAAAATAAGAGCAAAATGCTTTTTCGAGAAACTGAAATAAGATACCCGAAAATCCTTATTTTGTCTTGAGTGTCAGAAGAATTTATTACCTTTGCCAAAAGTAGCTGACCAATTAGTTTATTATTCTCGGTAGTTATATATAGGTATATGTATATATATCTCCAAAAACAGTGTAAGTAACTAAAGTACCCAATTTTGGATTGGAAGACTGCGTGCAGAGATGTGCTAAAAAGCACTCAAACATTACATTTCCAGATAAGTAAAACGAAGCGGATTATCACAGAAAAGACAGAACGCCAGAAAATGGTTGTTCAAGGCGATATTGAATATAGAAATGAGATTTGCAATACTTAGGCTATAACGAAACTTTTAAAAGCTATATCTAGAATTCAACCAGACAGAATAGAAGCATCTTTTAATGTTAAAGTGAAAAATTAAAGGACGTTAAAAACCTGACGTAGTGTATTACTAAAATGTATTGTCTCAAGATGTCAACTCGCCACAATGAGACGATGATAATGCAGTAAATAATGATGACCTACCAGATGAAATCTTGGATTTAGTGTAATGAAAGGTGCATGAACTACATGTACTTACTTTTATGTTTTATCACTTACGTATATAGGTACTTCTTACCTAATATTTTTTTGCATTGACTTCGATGACTGAGTTAGTTGTTGATATTAGGTACATAGGTGCAAAATGACTGTCGTAAAAGGGTCATGGTAGCTTGTAAAAAAAACACTTCCATTTTAAGGCAGTCCATTATACGTATGACTTGATCGCATCTATAATAATAATCTTTAATAAAAAATTTAAGCAAAACTTCATGAGTAAAAAAATAAATTTGTACCCAGTTTTGAGTCAACGCCAATATAGGTATCGAAAACCAATATAAGGTGACCGTGACTATAATCAGATATCAAAACAAACATTGTCGATGTTCTAAGAAAAAACATGAACATTACACATAACAAAGAAACAAGTTTTCATTTAATTAGAGACTTCGTGATCGATTATTACCGACGCGCATTTACATCAACTCAAGTTAGGTATTCTGCTCGTGTGCATCTTCCGTGGACGTAACGACTAGTAATTATGTCCCAGTATACAAAATAACATTTTACAAGGTCACGCATAATAAAACGACGGTCCTGCCTATATAGCTATCGAGTCAGTGGAATATGATATTCGATGGACAAATGACACCGTCACGCAATTGTAATCATTTGCGTCGTTTTAAAATAGATTGACTTTTCACAATCCCGTCCATTGCGCAAAAACGTTTTTTATTAGTAATGAACAGATGCAAGGTCAACCGAGACAGGTATTACATCTCTCCATTTCATCATTAACAATAAATTGTGGTATTGTGCTCTCAAAGTAAAATTCTTTGGCATCAAATTTAAAAACTTTGATCGTAAATGTCGCGGTTCTTCCGGAAAGATATGTTTTTGTTCCTATTAAAATGATTTCTTCACGACCTATGTTGCAATTATAAAACAATGTAAACTAAATTATTTTAATCGGTCTAATCCCTCCCACAGGCCGACTCATGTAGTTCCTGTACTCCAGGATTAACAGCAGTAATAAAAATCACCTACGAACACACCAAGTAATAACAATTGAAAAGTCCCCGCTAAAGTTAGACTGTCTTGGAACCCGTGACGAAATTTGAAGTAAATCGGAGAAGTTGGAAATATAAAAAATAGAGCTTTTCTTCTTAGTAAATAAAAAAATAGACATAAATAAAAATAGGAATATACTACACAGTATTAAAACAGGGGAGCACCACAGACGGAAATACAATTTCCAAAATACTGTTAAACAAGATCACTCTAAGGCGCGCATAGAAACACACATAATGTACTGTTTACTGGTTTCTTTATTAGATATCGCCGGTACAATACTAATAACCAAATTTAAAATGCAATGTTTACTATTGTATCACTTTGAATAGTAATTCCAAACACTATTTGTACACAGGACAACATACACAAATTAGAGACTTATTTTAAAAATAATACACATTACATAATTATTTCTATATTTTCCTGGTGTGAAGTAGTAATATAGTTAGATACATTTATACTACATACATTTAAAAGAGGTACATTTTATAATTAAGACTATTCTAAACTTTTAAAATCTTATGTTCATACAAAAAAGTGATAAATAATACTGCTGGGGATGTAGAGACATGTTTTTACTTATATTATATGTAATACTTCTTGTATAGATTACAAAATTGAAGGTGAATCCTCAGGGCAGTTTTCAATTAAACAACTTCTTAATATTTACGCGCAAAGAAGTTTACTTAGTATATTAAGCGATATAACATTTTTTTTTAAACAATTAAACAACGAAATAGATAACTGCTACCACAGAATACATAACAGTACTAATAGTAATTTTATACTAAACTAGCAGTTTTCCAAATTATAACTATCAACTAGGGTCACTGTGTAAAACAATTTTTAAGAATTGGACTATCAAATACAAAATGACGTATTCAAATAAAATCTACAAAATTAAGTTATTAATTTGGGAATTTCGGTTAGAGCTCGTACTTTGCGGCGGAGTCGGAGTTAATCTAACTTACAGGTATGTGTCACTAACCTGCACAAACTATTACTCACATTACCTAGTCCAACCAACAACGCTATTCTATCTGTTCCCCAGTCTTCTTATCCACCTTTCCTTTCATCATCAACAACAGCCTTAAGAAGCAGTGGTGCTGGACATAGGCTTCTCCTCAGGTTTTGGCCAACGTCGATGGATGTTGGGTTGGTAGAGGGTTTGTTTCAAGTTTTCCTTCTCTATGATGTGCTGCTATCCTACATAGTTTGCTCCCTTAGGCGGCTCTTACGACACCCACGGGATAAATAGATGTGGTGACCGTATTCTTAACATTTCACCACTTTTCTCTTCAATGTTCTCAAATTTATCCTATCTAATCCCTAGTGCCCAATTGACGACAATGTGTTTGCTCCTTATTACGTAAATGGGACTACATTTCTACTTCTTCTGCCTTCTGCCTACGTCTTCGAGGAACCAGACATGAAGGTAATGTTCGTAATATAGGAACAAATATTTCCCTACATTTTCGTTTTCGATGCCAATAGATAAACTATGGTTCAAAAACATCAGAATAAAAAAACAATGTTGATTTTAAGTTTAATTTATTTTTATTCAACATCTTTGTTCATTATGTCACCAATATTTCTTGCTTATCCAACTGTGTCAGAAAATTACTTGCTGCATTTAAATTTTAACCTGTATAAATCTTTGTCTCCTTCGATGAATAATATTAAAACAAAGTAATCTAATAAGTGTTTGAACCTTTACCTCCAAATTACTGTTATTATATTAAAACTACATATTATACTGAAGCGATTAGCCTCGGGCAATGAGGGATTCGTTGAATGTATAGATGGGCATAGCAATTTACAGGGGAACAGGGCAGTCCATAGATTAGCAAGCAAGGGATCTTAATGCCATTGGCAGGTGGCAACTAAACTACTACCACTTCCTTTCAACCAACTTCGCTCTAAGGTAAGGCAATGGATTTATTAAGCATTCAATCGTCGCTGCACCAACAGGTGTAAACTGAAGTCACACCACGTTTTACGTGCAGACTGCTCAGTCTCAACGAATTTGTCATATAGGTAGTTTTAGGAAATCCAGACAGCAGGTTGACTTAAGGCAGATGCAAAAGCCACCCACGTTATCCTGAGGTGTGGGAGTAGCCACACAACCGCCTAGGTTCTTTGCGGGTGTGAATTCGTTACCAGACACTTGCAAGCGGCCCATGAGGTTTATGTGCATCTGGAAGAAGCTAGGATGGCTTATCTAACCACAGACTTCTGAACGCAATCAACCGAGTATAAGTTGTTTACAATACTGTAACCATTTTTTTTGTCTAGTAAAATTTTCTACTAAAAACCACACTGTGAGAGTGTACATTCAATACCCTGACCCTGATGTGTCAGTGAATTACCATACATATTATAGAATTAACATAGATATTTGATATGGTAAATTATTTATGAATATAATATAGGGCTGGTAATTATCGATTCAAACACTGGCATAATAATTTAATTTCCGTCTTACTTTTAACACATTAGCTACTTCTGACAGTCCAACATAACTCAGGTATAAATCGCAAAGTTTATAAATTAGCAACCGACGTAGAAGTGACACGATTTGCATGTCAATTTGAAACCTTTACTATGTAATTTGACAATTTCAGGCTAAGAGTTTTCAACCTACTTTTAAATAATTTCTTCTAATTAATCTATGCAATGAAAAATTAAAATTTAAACAAATGTTGGCAGATTGCGTAAATATAACGCAAGAAATACAGTTGAATTGAGAACTTCCACTTTCTTAAAGTATCTTGCTTGCACACCAGGAAAAAATATAAATAATGTCTTAAATTAGATTGTCACCGATTTTGCACTCAGATCATATTGTTAAGAACACATTTAAAATTGGATAAATAGTTCTCTATGTGTAGAGCATTTGCATACATAACTATACTATGTAAAACATATCACGGACCTGTAAGGTTAAATGAGAAACTAAAGTTCCTAGAGGGCGACTATCTAACATTACAATTGATAAATACTCCGTACAAGCTATACTCGACTTAACACTATATAGCAACATATCACATCCATTTATCGATCCATAGCCACAGTAATAAAACACTTACTGACAACCAACCACACTCAACTAACGTGGGATTGAATATGTACTTGAAAATTCTACACTCACTGCCTAATATTTAGCTTGGAGAAATTCGAAAGTTCATGCATTCAATTCATTACAATAATAATAATAGTTGAAATCCATTCGATTATCATTGAACTTTCTAATTAGTGTTATAATATATTACATTATGTTTCAAAGTAAGTACTTAAAAATAATTACACTTTATCAAATGTATGTTCATAAATTTGACAAGAAAATGTTTAAGAAAAATGACTACCATAGTTTAAATAAAATATCTACAATTTAGAAATTTAATACAAGCCTGAAACAATATAATTTGTGACGCCAATACTGTTAACAGGTTGGTATCATTAATTTCTATCAATATCAATTGAACTTTGATTACATTATCAATTAACGATAATATATAATTCAGCTGTGCTTTTTAAAAATAAATACACCTTTACCGGGGCACTCGATATGAATATACTTTTTAAAAGGTGGTTTAGCGGTCATATTTAAAGAATTGTAGTTGTGCATTACAATGCTTTACAAAAGATTCAATAAAAAATTATCTTCATCAAATATTGTCACCAGTAAATTTGGCGTATAATATTCTTATACGCTTTTTCTACCGAAACTCTTTATAATGTTTTTTTCACCGCCGGTTAAACCAATAGATCATAGATTGTTTTATTACAAATTCGATACAAAAGGGAAATAAATAAGTATAGAAAAACATCACATCGTAACTAGAAAAGCTTCAAAAGGAGGACGAAGAAAATTTGAAGCAATCCTACTGACTCTACCGAAAAGTTATCGGTTGGTCATCGTGCACACCGATCACTTAATGGACACACGAGAACTCACTCAGTCACACTAGCAGTCTTCCCTGGTTACCACTGTGGGTTAGGCGGCAAGTAGCCCTCCGGCGCATAGTGCGGCGCAGAGGGAGCTCCAGCGAACGGTGGCGCGGGGCTAGACACGCCCGCCACCCCGGCCACCCCCGCCGGGCCCGCGGGCCCGTATGGGGGGTAGTAGGCGCCAGCACCCCCGTATCCATAATATGCTGGATTAGGGTACCCACCGTAACCCATTCCGTAACCTGAAAATTAAACGAGAGCTTGATATACTTGAAACCTCAATGTTAAATTCATACAGTCGATAAAAAAATCCAATTCTTTTTCATGTTCGATCGGTCGGTCTATATGTATGTTATGAATCCATCAGTCACTTACTTATTTTGTTAAAATATGAAATCTACACAGGGTAGTGTTCGACTTCGGTTAATCATAAACTTCGGACATACAGACAAATGTCAGACCAGTCAAGTCAAGATGTTTTGCGATTGATTTCAGTTACACTAGATCATAACCTATTGTTTGTAATTTCATTTTAATCACTTCATAGTGAGCGGAGAGAGCAAGAAATATAAGGAGAGTACCATCTCTATATCTGATTAGACTTACGATTTAAATAAAGATAAAAAAATAGTTAAATAAACATCAATCATGTGTTTACCTGGATATTGTCCGTATTGTCCTTCTGGTGACGGGTGTCCGCTGGGGAACATGTGGTTGCTTGGTGTTGGAAGAGGGCTCGGTGTCTGCGATTTAGAAAGATCGGCTGAAGGTGCAGCCGTGCCTCCACTCATCATAGCAGGATGTGCCATACTAATCGCCGCCGGTGAGGATTTTGCTAAATGATTTGGGTGTGATTGCATCAAAGGCGAATGACCAACTGTAGGCTCATGGGACGGTCTGCTTATTAACCTCGACTGGGTATTACAAGCCTCGATTGGCGCTATAGGTGTTGCATTTGATGGACTTGTTTCCAACTTTCGTTGACGTGGAGTTGCGGTTGTAGGCCCTAAGAGGCTCGATACGCTATGCGACATACTGGAACCGGCTGGTGACTGAGACTGAGATTCAGGTGCACCGTCCTGTTTTGTTGGCGATCTTTTCTTTTTAGATTTCACTCCTGGTTTTTCCTCACCAGTGGGCGAATATGATTGTGTAATATCGTCTAAATTTTTACGGAAGTCAGGCATTCCTTCCTTGTTCAAAACACTTGCCGTTCTTTCCAACTGACTCAAGCTCGATTCGAGAGATGGCCGGCCGCTTGGACGTTGATGTCTATAGTTTTTCAAAGGATTAATTTTTCTTTCTACCGCTTCGGCATTGCGCGCGATGTCTGCAATTTCTATTTTGGGTGCTATTGATTGTTTAAATCTCTCAGACTGATTTTCTTCTATACTATGTTTGTTTTCGAAAACCGCCTCTGATGGCAGTTTTTCATCTGTCGTTAAGACGAGTGATTCGGGTTCAGGCTGAGACTCTCTTTCAGTCTTCATACTGTTTGTTTCCCGGAATTTCATACTTTCCGAAGAATCAGCTGTGAGTTTTTCCTGATTGTTTTGACTACTAGATGCGGGTTTCGTGTCTAGTTGCTTATTACTACCCTCATCCTCATCACTGTCTAAAACATGAGTATCTTCATCCGAGGTTACTTCCACTCTACCAGAAACATTATTATCACTGCTTTCAGCTTCAGGCTTCTTGACGTCTTTCGGGATTTTTGTTATGCTAACAGAACCAGGTAAGGTGGGTCGTAATAATCGAGCTTGCATTGGAGATTTAGCACGCATGGCCGAGTACGATCTGAGTTCACCAAGTCGATTTCTAATGTCAGCTATTTTTTGTCCTGGCAACATTGGTCTCCCCATTTTATTTGGGCCCATCATGGAAGGCCTGATCACTCTATGAAAACCAGGTCGAGGCCCTGTTTTTGATGTGATTGTGATAGCAGAATTATTCTTCAGAGATCCTGGTATGTTCGATGGTGTAGGCCGACTACCTAAAACTGAAAACATAGCATACAATAAATATGTACATACAAATCCAAGTTCATAATTTATTTCAACCACATCATATGTTATCAGACATCTTACCTTTTTTTCCAATTGGACTGTTGTCTTTGTTCTCGCCTTTCTGTCCTAACCCTTTAAACGACGTCTTAATTGCTATTATTTTGCCAGATTCTAGCTGCATATATATTCCTTTGGGTGATTTCAATACCATAACCCGCTGGCCTGCTTTCAAAACTATGTTGGTCTTCTCAGCTGAATTTGTAGGTATTACAACGTCTGAAAAATAATAATTAATAAGTAAAAATACTTAAGCAAAATTCAAGTTGTGAACACACCAGTGTTTATAATAGTTGATGCATCACAAATTATGTTCAATTTACACGAAAGTCATCCGCAAGTGCAAGGACACGGCATTGGTCTAGATATTTCCATATTTATATTATATACTAGCTGACCCGCGCAGATTCGTCTGCGTCTCGCAATAGTAATAAATTTTCTCCGTTTTTTGAAACATTCTTCATTGGTGATCCGCTCCTATTGGTCTTAGCGTAATGATATATTGAAGGCCTATAGCCTTCCTCGATAAATGGGCTATCTAACACTGAAATAATTTTTCAAATCGGACCAGTAGTTCCTGAGATTAGCGCGTTCAAACAAACAAACAAACAAACTCTTCAGCTTTATAATATTAGTATAGATTTATTTATTTACAAAACATGCAACTCAGTATATTTATCGATGTAGTACAGCCCAGCTACGTTGTGTAATTGGGTATGTATCGTGTATAAAGGTGTAATATATTGTACCATTTTAGACCACATTCTTTAGAACTTTATTTAAAAGCATGGATCACATGGCTATATTAAGATTAAGTTGCCAAATTGAAATAAATATAAACAATTAATTATTATTTATTTAATGTGTACAACGTTCAGCTGAACTTGTTAGTCAACAAGGTATCGCATCTAGTGTTTCACTATCTTCATAATGTGTGCATTGCAATTGGCCCAATGCTGGTAAGATAAAAATATTTTGTTTCTGTTTGGGTTAATCAAATTTAAGTCACTAGAACTTAAATGTAAGGTAAGGTAAATGTAATTAACCACATATTTATAAAAAACTTTGTTTCCTTTAATTTTGTTTGAGGATTTTCTTGTTAAAATTTTTACTTCACATGCTATTACATTTAGACCTTTATTGTCACTTAACAATATTTGTTACCCATGCTTGCACGTCGGAATATTTTGTAGTTATTAGTGTATAAGTTCTCATGTAAGTGAATGTACAAATTCTTATAAGAATGAAGATTTCTGAAACCAATATATTTTGTACAAATAGTTGTCGCCTTACCGAGCGGTAGAGTCATTTCCTGAGCCGTCATCCCTTGTCGCCGCCACACGTCCGCCGGTATCCACCTCGCGCCATGTTGCATCGGTCTCACAGACGCCACCGGTCTCTGTACAAGACTACCGTCTGCCGTTCGCACTGTTCTGTATGCGGTCGTTGGTTTTGGAGCCAGGGCCGCTTTCTTCTCAAGTTCGTACCTAAAGGCGACAATTTCATGTAGGGATGGTATTTATAATATAATAACAATAATTTCATGCATCTCACACACGGTAGTCTGATCACTAGGCAAAGTCTGTGTTGTGATAACCAGACTGCTGATAAACATATGTACATAAATATTTCTAAATACATACAGAACAAATGATCATCAGTGACAGTGCTCATCATACAATTATTTATCCTGGATGGCAATCGAACTCACGACCTCTGACTTAGCAGTCAGCAGCCACCACTAGACCAACAGGCCTATCACAATTTATTTTAAACCAGCTAGTACCCGCGAATACGTTAGCGTAAATTTGAAAAGCGCTGCCTTAGTGCTGTAGTACGATACGTGACTGCAGTCCATGAGGCCTCGGGTTTGATGCGCGGACTAGGCATACTATTATAGGGTTTTTATGAGAGGAAAAATAGCCTTAGTTACTCCTTATATAGACAGCTACCTGTTAGTAAAATATTAGCAAAATCGGTCCAACCGTTATGGAAATTACCCGGAACAAACACAAACAAAAGATATTTAAACTGGTTGTGGCTTCAATTTTATTTAGAGGGTACAGTACCGAAAGACAACACTTAAGGCTTAGTTCTTGAAAGAGCTGAGGGAAAAAGTACTTGTGTCTAAAACTAGCTATCCGAAAAGTATTAGAATCAGTAGTAGTCCCTAAAAGATCTAAATATATCTGTACTCTTTACGAGTGCTACCTTACGGTCCTTTGGAATCCCTTACCCTCTCTGCGCAAGTCTCTTTTCAGCGCTGGACAACTTCTTTTCCTTCCTATCGACTAATAACGACTCGTGTTGGAATGGCTCCTTGCTCAGAAGTTTAGTGTGGTACATTATTACACCTTGCATAAGGATGTCAATGTATTTGTCTTTGTGTTCAGAAAGGTCTTTAATTTCAGTTTCCTGGAACCATGAATTAATATTAACAAGTGTTATAAAAAAAAAATTGTGATTTAATTCAAAAGCAAGTGGGTTCTAAACGGATACTATGTTAGCACATAATCTTTTAACAAATCCGAGTTCTAATACATGAAAACTCAAACAACTCCAAGTATCTGCTAAGACTATTGACAACAGTTTTCTTTTTTGGTTTAAAAAGACAACTTCTGCATTAGGAATATATATCCTGTGTCGCGGGGGACTTTACAAACATACATGAAACGGACACAAAGAACACCCAGACTCAGAACAACAATTTGTGGATCACACAAGTGCTGTCCCATGTGGGGATCGAACCCACCACACTCTGCGCGTTGCGACCGCTTAAACCACTACGCCATTCATTGTATTGTTTCATGGCAGTTACCTTTTCATCGTTATCGAAGCAGAGGTTTGTTATCTCCTTCATCGATAGCACAGCGTCTGGGTTACATTCATCGACAACACGGTCTGCCATACCCTGTTTGTTGATCTGACGATCATATATCTTCTTTTCGAGACAACAATCCATTACGAAGCGATATACGAAACAGGGCTTCTTTTGTCCGTATCTAAAACAACAATATTTTGGATTTATTTAAAATAAACCCACTAAAATGTAAGACTAATCTCTTTCGGTAGTAGGGAAATACTCGCCTGTAGACACGACAAACAGCTTGGGTGTCATGACAAGGGTTCCAACTGGCGTCAAACACAATCACTCTGTTGGCTCCGACTAAATTGATTCCGAGGGATCCCGCTCGAGTAGAGACAAGGAACAGATAAATGTGCGGGTTTGTATTAAATTCGTTAATTAATTTCTCTCGTTCTAGGGCATGAGTTGAACCGTCCAGACCTGCAGAAATTATCCATACAACTGAAATATTTACATTTAAAAACTAAGTATCTACATACAATAAAAATTATACTTACGGTAATAATTTGTATTTCTTTCCCAGAGACAATTTGTTCCGGGAATGTAATTTTTTTCTAAGAAGTCTTCAATGAGATTCAGTGTAAATAAACTTTGACTAAACAATAGTAATCTATCTCCCATCTTAATACTTTCAGTCAATATGTAGAAGAAAAGTTCCATTTTTGCAGAATTTTCAATGAGCCCAGGAATGTAATCTTTTAGTAACTCAGCAGCCCAATCGTAAGTCATTTCTTCTGCTTTTTTTACAATGGCCAATTCTTCTTCTCTACTGATTTTCTCTTCTTTTTCACTTTCCTCAGATTCTGAATCATCATTATTTTTTTCTTTTGAAGTTTTTCTGTCGTTTCTTCCCTTTGCTCTAGGTTTTGGCTTAGCCTTAGCTTTGTCTCCTTTTTTGCTATTATTGGGTCTACCTCTTTTTCCTTTCTTCTGTTGTTGTTCTTCCGATTCCGACCCATCACTTTCAGCTGCTTCTCCTTTCTCTTTTATCTTATCAGTTTTCTGATCTCTTACTGCCAGAGGTTCCACTTTCGGTGGTTTTTTTGTTTCATCTTTCACTATTTTCTTTGTGTCCAAATCTTCTATTTTCACCTCACCATCTGATTCTGATTTCATTTCAATTTTTTCTTCAGCTTTTAATTTGTCGATTTCAGTCTTAATTTCTGTTATAGGCCACGCAGTCACTGGGCTACCTGAACCAGCACTCCCCAAGGGTGATTTTGTTTCCAGGTGAGGTGGGAAATGTTGGTATGTACATGGATAATTTCCATTAGAGTTATTTTCAGACGGTTCGGGATACGATGGTACGGAGTTATTTGAAGAAAAACCATAAGGCACCGATGACGTGTTCTGTGTCGGTTGCGATACATTTGGCTCGGATTTCACTTCATTCGTATAGTTAACAGCTGTATTAGACTCGTTTTTAATAGTAGGTTGGTTTGGCACGTTAGAATCAGAAGTTTGGGTAGGAGGCATATTGTTAGAGTAGCCTGGATAGTTAGGCGGTTGATTTTGATTTTCGAAATGGTTGTATGGAGTCGAATTATTGCCATAAGATGAGGTATTTGTACTATATGGCGTGGGATAAGGCTGGTTAGGATAGCCCTGAGAGGGAGGATTGTTAGGAAAACCAGTCTGTGGCACATTGGCATTATACTCTGAGAATCCTGGTTGGTTGTTATAGCCTTGGTATGGAGGTCTCTGTTGGCTATCAAAACCTTCTTGGTTATTTGTATAAGGTTGTACCGCGTTGCCTGGATAAGGTTGTTCGTTCGAAGGTGGATTATAATTTGGCGGGTAATGTTGGGGATTATTGTATTCTGGGGGAGGATTGGCTCGAAAATCTTGGGGTGGCTGATTACTTTGATATTGGGAATTATTGTAGTATCCGGGGTTACCATAATAGCCAGGGTTTCCATTTCCCCAATAATTTTGGTTAAAGCCCTGTCCACTTTCTGGTATACTTTGTCCATACTGATTTGGATAGTTGTTTCCATAAGGAGGCGGCTGTTGATAATAGTTACTATCATAGTTTTGATTGTATCCTTGATTCGGAGGATAGTAGCCCGGACCAGGGTTCTGGTAGTTGTGATATGGTGGATACGGCCCTGACTGCTCAGGTCTAAATGAGTTTGGCGGTCCTCCATACGGTGGACCATTGTTCGGTGGATATGGAGCGTTACCATATATTCCAGAATCTGAACGAGGCACCACGGTACCGGTTGTTGTATTAGGTGGTATAGTGGCAGCAGGCTTCTTAGATGAACCCTTAAATATAATGTGAAAACAAACTTAATCATAAATACGTAGGTTTAATACCTAATCTAATTAATCCTACATTACGACATGACTACAATGTTCAGTTTATATCAAAAGGTATATTATTATAGATGATAGTCGTAAAGTTACTTTTTAATGAGCATTCGACTTTTAATGCCTCAGCCATGAGTGTTAGCTGTTCCTTACCCGCTGTGCAGCGGCGCGCCGGGGTGGCGCTGTGCTTCTCCGCGCTCGGCCCTTCTTGGTGATGCCACCGATCTCCTCTAAATCTAGATCCTCTTCAATAGCTGCATTTATTTCACTTCTCTTTCTAAGGAAGTTGTATAGTACATCAGGGTGATTCCATATCTAAAATGGAAACGATCAAAAGCTCAGTTTGTATTCGAAAATAAGCAACTATGGTCAAACAAGAAACTGTTTAACATGATATAACACGATAATTTTTGTTAGAAGTCAGAATTAAAAATCTTTACATATCATTATTCTTGTAAATTTATGACCCAGAAATATGACAACTCGTTTCGTTCATACCTTACAGCAAATTGCGAAAGCTTTCAAAGGATTTGGCACTGAGGTGGAGCGGACAACTTCATTCATAAACCTATCATACAGTTTTCTTTGTAATGGAGTCATACGTATGAGGAGCACATATTCTTCTTTTTGAGGTAGTGTCGACTGCAAGACGGCATGTGATCGCCTATAAACATAAAATAAAATTATATAGCCCATTAAGCTGACACGTTCATTTATCGCATAATTCAACATGCCTATATTATTTATTTATATTTAGTTGAAAAGTTTAAATACCAATAACGATTTATGGCAATTAATATAGTTAGTCCACAAATATACATATTTTAAATATTGAAACTACAATATATTTCGTAAAATCAGGATATTTATTTTGAGTTGGTATCAATCTTAAATATAATGGCATATTAAAACTTCGCATCACCATCATCTTCTATACATTTAACCTTTGCTATTGGGGTGCGTGCTGCTATGCGTGACATCGCATAAAGGTTTTGACTAGTTTCATAGTTTTGAACTCTAACTTCGTGAAAGGAATAAGTCATACCATTAATAGGAAGCATAAAATTTGCTAAATGCCTAAAATACAATCACTCTATTAACCTCTCTAATACCTCTATTTCTCACAGCATAGATCTAATTGTAACAACATAGATTATATCAGATTTTTTTAGTGCACTTGTTAATTAGGTACTTAATACATACCGTTGTACAAAACCCACAAGAAGCGAATGCAGTACATGAGCTCTGTATCGCATTAGCCTTATATCTTGTGGAGTGGAGTCTATGCACTGGCCGTTCTGAATGGGCCGCTCGAACATATTGCAGAACTCCGTTTTACTGCCGAGATAATTTGGCCGCACAAAGTCGACCATGCACCAGTATTCTAACAAGTTGTTTTGCAAAGGGTAACCTATAAACAGGTGTAGTTAGAAAACATTTTTGCAAACTAATGATGAAAAATAAATGCATTACCTTTCATAATAAGAGAATAGAATAATAGAAAAGTATTGTAAATTGTAACAGAAAAACTAGACGCAGATTGTCAGTGTATATTTTTCTTGAAGAATACTATATTACTATGCTTACATAAAACGCGAATGGAATTTTGTTGGTGATATGGCTTTAAGGTAAAGCAGGAATCTTATGGTATGATTATGTGCCTGAATAAATTGTTATAAGATCTCAAGCATTTTTTCTTATGTTTATACTCACCGGTTAATACAATTCTACGTTTGGTACGCATCTGTTTCAATGCATATGAAATATTAGAATGAGAATTCTTTATTCTATGTCCTTCGTCGCATATAACCAGATCAGGGCCAGGTTTCACTAGTGCTTCATACATTTCTGAAAAGCGTATAATTATGATTATCCTCGAAAGACGTATGTATTAAACATTTATCTTAAAATAAAAATAAATGTTCAATCAAATCCATACTTCCCTACTTATTTGTAATATAAATGCAAAAGTGACTTTGTTTGTTTGTTACGCTTTCACGCCTAAATCACTAAACCGATTTAAAAAATCTTACACCAATGTAATGCTACATTATTAGCGCGTAACCTAGGCTACTTTTTACTGCGATATGACATACATGGGGGGGGGAGCCGCAGCGAAAGCTAGTATTTATATAAATGGCGTATTTTATTTGTTTCCTTAAAATTCATTCTCTTTTATTTTGAACACTAGTATTTACAAAATCATATCAACATACAATATACTTATTTGTATATATCAGACAACAGTATACACAAGGTGTTGGCATTTGGCTGTTTACGCGAAGTTTACATTCAAGTCGAGAGTGAAATAGCATTGTATGTCATCACTAGATCAGCTTAAGATACTTACCCGACGTAAAGAACCTATAAAAGTAAAAAAAAATAAGGCAACATGTTGATCATGATGAAACTTATTGAACAAAATTTTATACATACCATCTAGCAGCTTCTTATCTTCGTCAATAGGTAAGTCTTCTTTCTTTTCTTCTCTTTTCAAATCCTCTTTGTTTTCATCAAACCTTGATAAGTCTCCATCATCTCTGTCGAACTTTGACTCTTCAGAAACCTGAAGAATAATTTTTATAATGAAGAAATTAACTCATATGGTTTTAAGATACCTTTTTCTTATACCTTTTAGTATTAAACACAAGTACATACATGGACAATTAATTAAAGTAGTTATCTCCACATTAGTTAATAAGTTACATAAATTACCTGGGTATCTTCACTTGCAAGTTCAGACTTTTTCTCCTCTTTCTCTTTTTCAGCTTCAGCTTTGAGTTCAGCTTTCTTTTTCTTACGAGGTTTTTTATCTTTTTTCATACTGAGAAGTCTGTAGAGTTCATACCCTATCATTAAAACACCACCAGTCGTTGTCCAATCCTGTAACACGTGTTTTTGTTGAATCATTTAATCGTCGTGATAATGATTAACAGTCTTTAATAGTCTACTGCTGAACATAGGCCTTTCCTTACCAAGGAGGCTTAATTAATCCTTCGCTAGCACAGTCATGTTCCAGTTTAAGATGTTTATGGCTCTAAACCTAACTTGACCTATATCTGGTCTCTAAATTAATGTAATTAAATTGGTTTTATGCAATGAAATTTAATATTAAGCCTATTTTGATCATTGAAGTCCAAACATCCTCTCATGTTTTAAGGTAAAATAAGCTGTTGTGTTGTTATAATGAAGTATACATTCTTGTATATAATTTAGTTATGTTGTATTATTGTAGGCTGCTTCTCGTGCAAGCCTAGAACTATGTATGTATTATGTTATTTTCTAAAACACACAGCGTTGCTGTCGTGAATATCCTATCACTATATCACTAATTGTCCATGGTTAAAACTTACCAGTTTATCTGTGATCTCTATACTTATCTCTTTCTCTCACACGCGTGCGTCCTCATCTTTCAAGTAGGAGAATGCTTGTCACAACTGTCAATTCATAGCGTTTGTGAATTTTGTGGCATTTGCATTTGTTCGCAAAATTTTGAGACTGAATATAAATTACATTAAATTCTTAAATTTAGTTGATTTAACACACAGCGCTTCATAGTGGTTAAATAATAATAACACGAATAATTTTAGACAACATGGATTCCCTTCTACTTTAATAACATATAATACCCCATTAAAAAGGTGGTTGTCATGGTGCAACAATCACCAAGTTAATCCTAAGTTACCAGAAGGTACAGAAGTTGCTAGATTTTTGGCTAAATTATTTTTAGGAGATAGATTTGCTTATAAAACCATTCTTTTACATAAGTCAGCAGTTGCCGCATATTGTGCCACTTCAGGCATAGACATTTCCAAAACTTTATTTGTACACCAGGTCTTAAAAACCATTTCCCTTGCTAGAACTAGCACCCAAAAGTTACCAATTTGGGATACAACAATTTTATTTGATTGGCTAAAGACCTCTACCAACAGAGGTTCATTATTTGAGACTGCTAGAAGGACCGCATTGATACTCCTATTGGTCTCAAGCCGTAGAATACATGACCTAACAATGACAATGAGATTAGTCTGTGACCTAAATTTGGGTCTAAAACAGATTTTAATACCCACAGACAGTCAGGTTGGTTGTTGCGGAAACATCCAATACATCAAGTTTGCTCTGTAAGGCACATTAAGGACCTCATAGAAAAGTCAAAGAGAGATGAACACTAATGTCACAACCAGGCAGTTGAAACCAGCTTCTAGAACTATGACTGCAGGTTGGATCAGGTGAGCTGTAGCCTCAGAAAGTGTGCTAGAAAATAGACCTATTCAGAAAATACTAGACAGAGGTAACTAGAAAAGAATGGAAACTTTCAAGAAGTTCTACTGTCTGCCAGTTCTTAAGACAGAGAACACAAACAATGTTGTTTATTATGTGCCAATTTTTCTAATTTTTAATATTTTTTATTCCTTCTAGGTAATTTTAATCTTTGTTTGAATTAAAGTTCCTCTTTATTTTCTACTAGATCTCATTATAATAATAATTTTATATAGACTTAAGTTATTTGTTTTGATAAACATATATATTATCTGTGTGGTGACGGATTAAGAATACAAATTGTCACCACCCCAATTCATCCCGTGGGTGTCGTAAGAGCCGACTAAGGGAGCAAACTCAGCAGGACAACAGCACTGCAAAGAGAAGGAAAACTTGAAACAAACCCTATACCAACCCGTCTGGCCAGCGTGGTATAGTAGGCCAAAACCTCCCTTCTAAGGAGAGGCCTATGCCCAGCAGTGGACTAGTATAGGCTGTTGATGATGATGATGATGAAACATATAAAGTAAGAATAATATAGAGCTTAGTAGAAATAATAGGCTAATTAAGTTTTTTAAGTTTAAAATTGTTATTGCAATATAGAATTGATTTACTTTTTAAATAGTGTTACGATTTATACTCATCATAGCGTTTGTGCTACCACCAGCAGATAACAAAAAAGTATTCACATCAACACTGTGTGTTTGAAAAAATCACATAATATAACTGTTTTGCATTCCAACAAAACATGTATTATGTGTTGAATTAAACACACAGAGTTGCAGCAATGCTCTTGCTGGTGATTTGAAGACTATGAATTGACAGTTGTGACAAGCATCCTCCTACTTGAAAGAAGAGGACGCACGCTTAGTGAGAGAAAGAGGTAAGTATAGAGATCACAGATACACCGGTAAGTTTTAACCATAGACAATTAGTTATAGGGCATATTCACAACAGCCTTCTCCACATCAACGCTGCGTTTTATTCAACACATAATACCTGTTTTGTTCGGATGCAAAACAGTTTTATTATTCTATTTCAAGGATATTTATATTTTCTTTATTTGCTTGTTGTGAGTTCAGTTTTTGTTTTATTGTTCGGTTTTATAGGACGGCGGAATTCCACGCGCTCCCGCTTCGTACCCTGGCCGCAATCATGGCACCAAGCGAGAGAATTCCTACTCCGATGATTGTAATGAGGTCAGGCTTCCTACCCAAGCTGGGCATTTTGCCAGCCTGTGGAGCGCCGTGTTCACGGTCCGGCCATCGCAGTGGTGGCACTCAAGCGTTGGCTCCTTGCGGATCAGACACAGGTGATCTCCGGAGCATTCTTTCTCGGTGATCACCTGAGTTAACCCGTAAACCTCCATAGAGGGTCTTACCGCCATAATAATGGCTAATTTGACGCCTGACTGACTTCTTGATAAGATTGTTTGAAAAAAAAAAGCTAATTAACCTTTACAACTTTCGCTCGCATTTGTAATGTCTTATGGCTGTCATTGAGTACGTAGATTGGGAAATGTCGGGCTCTGACTTCACCATGCGCCGACAGAGGACTGGTACTTGCATCCAGAGGCAACCACATGTTGAACTCTGCCACCTTAAACCATAAAATAATGATTTAAATATAATGAAACTAAAATTAACATATTGAATCGTAGTTTCAAATGTTTTATGTACAGTTATAAATTAGTTGTATAAAAAGTATTTATTAGTTGTATAATTTCATTTCATGCAAGCCCATGTTTAAATTACTTAAAATATATAAGACCATTACTTTCAAATGCCCTACGGATCTTCAATTACTTGGACTACATTATTTGAAGAACTAAACAGTAGGAATAACTTTATTGACTCATTTTAGTTACTGGCAATAGTAAAATGTTATTTACCCAATTCTGTAGCGTGTTTATAGGCATAATGCATAGCACAGTCTTAGAGGAAGTATGCCGCAGAAAAATATCACAGAAGCACACAATTTGCAATGTTTTACCAAGGCCCATTGAATGTGCCAATATACAGCCAAATCCAGTTGATGTGGAAAATCGTTCAACCGATTCTATAATATTATCAAATAAGAATCTGACACCACCAATCTGAAATAAAAATAAATAGACATAAGGAATATGTTATTATGTGGCGCACACAGAGGAATATTATATTCGAGATCTATATGTATAAGTATATTTATAAATATTGAATTATAATAATAATATATTCTACCACATACACACAACGCCACGCCATGGGTACTAGACAACTGATATAAATACATATATATATTTTTTTGTAAATACATACATATTATACATAGAAACACCCAGACCAAATCAAACATCAAATGTTCATGCACATAAATGTTTGACTTGAGCGGGAATCGAACCCGCGACCTTTGGAATAGCAGTCCGTTACACAAACCACTACGCCATCCAGGCGTCGAATTGTTTTGTATACACTTCAAAAACCTAAAAAGTTCTACACTGATTGAGCACAATTTTTTACATGATATACAAGTCGCTTCAAAGATTGATTTTATCTGATTTTTGCATCAGCTTGTATCTAGATCTTTGCAATATAGTGAAAAAATACATTCAAAACGGTAAAAAATCGACTGGCAGTCTGATCTCTAGTTTTTATTATTCAATCGTTGATAAATTATTGATATTAAATTACCTATGTATGAGTTTATTTTTTTAAAATAAATTGTAGATAAATACACACACACAAATACATATGAAATACACAAGTGAATAAACCCATTTTTATTCAATTAATGTATATAAATATGTACAAAACTTCATAAAGTATTACCTGATGAGGTTTTATAACCCTTGCTATTTGTGGTGCTAAGAATATATCCTCCTCATTTTCAGGATGACCAATGTTGATTAAAACGCGCCCTTGTTCATCTGGGATGTTGTAAGCATCATTCACATGTAGGCCTTGAAATAAAAACGAAATTCATAAATAATAGTATCAAAACATTTAGTATTTAACTATTTATGTAAGTGCACCACATAGTATTTAACTATTTATGTAAGTCCACCAAAAATGTATATATGTTGATGATTAGTTGGCAGGACGAAGATTTATTATCATACCTCGTTATTTCGTTTTATATACTAGTAAATGAAGTACGATTTTTAATCCCTTATATAATACCAGTAATATTAATTTCATTAATAATTCAGTGTCTTTTTCATGTTAGGTAGTGTGTGCCTGTGCAAGTCAGATAATCTGTATTCAACATCTGCAGAAAGAGTGTCAGTTAACATTAATAATCACGACTTTACTGAAAGAGAAACAGTCTCACGCCTTCTTGAACCCTGTGTTGTACCCAGGAACTGACAGACACTTGGTCTAGCGCCTATGCTGAGGAGACGAAAGAGGCGAAGTCATGCAATACACACGCTCACCAGTCTCATGTAACATGTTAAGGTTTAGGTAAATTTAACATTTGAACAACTACAATATACTTTTATACTGTTACTCCTCATATCTGAGTATCTATGCATATCGTGTTACAAAAAAATACGCGGTACATTTTTTCTGATATTTAACAACTCCTTGCTGTGAACAATTTCTAAAATAGAATAAAATGCTAGATCAAACAATGATTAACATTAGTTTTAAGTTATCTGGCAAAAGTACCTAGGCAATCTGCTTTTACTTTAATATTTATTTCTTCTATTTATATTATTAAACTTGTGTCGTTGGTTTTTTATTAAATTCTCTTAATACATATCACAATTATATTTTTTACCTGAATTAGCAGGATCTTCTTCAGCTTCAGGACTAGGCGGCACTTCCGAATCTGACAGCATTATGCAATCATCAGAATCAGATGACGAAGACGAAGACTCTTCTCCACTGCTGCTATCAACTATTTCTACAACCTACACATACCAAAATTATATGTTATTTTCATATAATCTGTGCTATAACATATTTTTAAAAATAAGAGCAAAATTTAGTGAGGACTTTTGGTATGCATTAAAAAGATCTATTTATATCCAACATGTTTGATACCTACATCTTTTCTAATAAATACAAATATTAATATAAGCGGTTTAACAAATATATGAAATATTTATGCAAACTAAATATCGACTTTTGAAAGGCTTCCTAAACAACAAAAGTACTTAAAATTACTAATATAATTATAATCTGACAATTCTAATAGTATGTTTATAAAATGATCTTTTAACAGACTTCAAATAAGGAAGAGATTGTACGATAGGTTGTTGTTGTAATCCAGAGCTCTGTCATTATGAACCAATTTGGAAAATTGTTTTTTATTTGAGAGGAGAGGAGAGGTCAACTTCCCGTTTATTAAACTGAAATTTTTGAAAATATTACCAGTTAGGGTGAAACATAATTTATATGATTCTAATTTAAGAATTATTCTTTACAGTGAACCATTTTAGATTGTCTTTTTTTTTCACAGTTAAAACACAATTTAAATATTAAATTGAATTGGGCTAAGTAGTAGTAGTAAGTAGTTTCATAAACTGTTGTACAAAAACGACTTTGAATCATTTTTAAAATCTATAAACATAATTAAAGTATTTAGAGTGCATAAATAATTTAAATAATTATACAGAACCAACCTCTTTTCTATCAGCTCTATGATCAGATTTTCCTGGTTTTTGTGATCCAGAAGTTGTAGCTTTTGGCAACTTAGTCACCTCCACATGACCTGCTTTTATTATAGACTTTTTTGCTTCGCCTGATGGCACTTTCACTAGGACTGTGTTTGGTAAACTAAAAAAAAACGTTTTTTGACATATTACTATGTTGAATCGATTTAAGAAAGTTGTTTCGAAATAATTACATACTTTAATTTTTGTCCAGGTAGAGATTTTTTCAAAATAGATGATCCACCTTGTAATAATGATAAAGTTTTCTGATGAATTTTGTTTTGTCGGTTCAATGCTATTTGTCTTTGGACCTGTTGACATAATAAATACTAATAAAAAATGCATATTTACACACTATGTATAACTTTTCAGAGAGAATTGTAGGGTCAGTTTAGTAAAACTAAAGTGAGTAACTTCTAAAGTGGATGGAAAAATATTATAGGTAGAACAAATTTCAAAGTAAAGAACAGCAGTTTTTTACTACAGATTAATCAATACATAAACAAGTCGTAAAATGAATTTTATATTACTTCTCTGATGATTCTCTGTTGCTCCTGTACTCTTGCCAATCTCTCTGACTCTTGTCGTTGGGCAGCAAGAGTAGACGCATCTAGATTCTTTTCATCCATCACTTCTCTGATATTCCGACGGACATTGACTGCATTTGGGTTAATTGTTTTTTTCTGTAAATTACCATATAAATTGGAACTTGTTGATGTAAAAATAGACTAGAAAGTAACAAAAAACATAATGCCTGTATTCTCCCAATAGGCCAGGCAGAGGAGTATTACTATACTATGAGATATCTGAAAATAAACAGATATTTATTAAGTAACTGTTGTATTACTTTTTTTATTCTATATTCAGAAAAAAGGAATCTAAAACAAAGTAAAATTTAAGAAAAAAATGTAATATAATCAAATACATAACAAAAAGATATAATAATCTTGTCTTTGTCAATACTGAGTGTATTATAATTTAAATATATAAAGTGTTGTTTTGGCTCCGCATTGTGCAATTATTAGTAATGTTATTTTTGGATAACCCTTGGCTATTCAAAATTAGATTGCTCTAAATTCTAATTCCATGCTCTGAAAGTCACAAGTAAGTACCTAATGTTTTTACAATTTATTACACTTTAAATTAAATATAAAGTAATTTTGTAATAATAATAGTGTATTTGACTACATAATCCTAAAAAGAAGATTAACATTTATGGCACAGTAATATAGTCATATTATTACTCATAAAAATCTAATGCTTTGGGATTAGGGATCAACAAGGTCTAAAAATCTACCCCTAATAATTAACACAAGTTCTTATTTGAAACTTCCAAGATACTGTATTAGTGGTGTTACATATACCAACTTGTAAAAATAATTATTTAGGTAGGAAGTATCATAGCTGTACTTTTAAAAAACTGAACAAGTCGAAAAGCATGCAGCAATTTTGCTATGGGGGCTGAGGTAACAGTTTCAAAATCAGGGATTCCCAAAACTATTTTGGGCAAGGAGGTCTCTTGCGTACAATGCATTTTTTCAGATAGGCTATTAAAAATTTGATAAATAATATGTAATAAAAATTAAAATACTTTCTTGTAGGCAAGGCATATGGCAGAACTTAACTCACAGTTAAGTTCTGCCATATGCCATATTATGTTTTTAAATGTACTTATAATTTTTAATATCAAATAAAATCAACTAACCTCATCTTCCCCTTCAGGTTTTTTATCACCATCATCTGACAGTTCTCCTGTATCATCTTCCTTCTTGTTAATTGGTTTTACACTGATTTCACCCATCTCCTTCAACTTCTCAGTAATATCAAAATCTTGACTATTCTCCTCTTGTTTAATATCTAACAATTCTTCAGGTTTCTCTGGACATAACTCACTCTCTTCAACTTCAGCAATTTCTACATTCTTACTGTCTAAATCCCCCTCATCAATAATATCACTGATTGAAAGTGTTTTAGGTTCGTCTTCCTGTTCCTCTTTGATTTCAGGCTCAGGAGGGCTACTAGAGGGAACAGGACTGTCTATTGAAGGTTGACAGTTCATTTGTATGTCCCGTTTTGCCTCCATTATATCACCAGTCTCAGGATCAATGTAACTCTCATTCTCTTCATTAAGTTCTTGCACAGCGTTTGGGTTAACCACAAATTCTTCCTCTGAAAGTCCATCACTCTCTGATTTACTATCTTCACTTGTAAAATCACTTAATTCTAAAATGTTGTTACCAACTAAGCTGCGAATTGTAATACCTGTGTCCTTTTTGAGTTTCTTGGTGAAATCGTGAAAACTTTTCACGGCTTCTAACTTCCTCTTGTGGCTCATCGCTCTGGGCTTCGAAGCAGCTCGCTTCCGAGAGTTCATAGCAGCAGCCTGTGCAAAATGAGCTCGTTGTATCCTTGCTATGGTCTCGTCGTCATCTTCACTCTCCAAAACCTCTTCCTCAGATTCTTCTTCCTCTTCGTCTTGCATCTTTCCTTTCATCTTATTCTTTACTGAACTTGTGCCGGCGGCATCACCCATGACAAAAAATTAATGTCTTTTATCTTAAATAAACGGTTGCCTAAACGCAAGTCGTCATCTTCAAGATAGTTTCGTTCAATATAACTTAAATTGGACTTGTTTGTTGTTATAAACACATGCTTGTTTCATAAACAGAAATGTTCATTTTCTCACTACACCAACAATATTTTCAGGATAGTCCTTTGTAGCGCTTTTACAGGACGCGGCATTTAAAGCAAGGGAAATAAACCGGATGACAATTCTTCACCTAGCGCCCGGGATTCGATCAAAAATTCGACAAATCAACATATTTGATTTAATTATCGATAATAAAATTATGTCTGCAATTAATTTTAGGAAGCCATTACTTCCGCAATAAATAGCCTATTCAACTATTCGTATAGAATTTGTGTATTCGACAAGCGTGTTTACAAAAATTGTAGACGGGCGACTGCGTCACAAAATGTCACAAAGGCTTTATAAGCAATCAGCATTAAAGTGTTTAATTGCGGATTGTCATGTAAGAATCATTGGTGTAAATCTCGTAAAATCGTCTCAAATTTGCCATTGAAAATGCATCCTTGTTGAATCAAAACAATGCGTTATACATTGTCACAGCAAGTGTTTTTAACTCCTGGCAACATTATTGATTTTCCTTCACTGGGTTATGGTAGTCTATGACATTATCTTTGCTTGATGATTTTTTTTGTTAAAAAGTGCGAAACCTTGTGTTATGAATTTGAAAACTTTAGATAAATTATCCACAGCCTTTATTAGTCCACTACTGGACATAAGCCTCTCCCTAGAGAGGAGGCTTTGGCCTACCATACCACGCTGGCCAGACGGGTTGGTATAGGGTTTGTGTCAAGTTTTCCTTCACTCTGCAGTGCTGTTGTTCTGTGTAGGCTTCTCCCTTAGCTAAATGCAATATACTTTTTTATGTTTTTATCATATATCAGCTTCTTGAAATGGCACATTTGAGAAAATGTTCCAGTATGACAAAATAACACACACATTTAGCATTTACTTTTATTATGCTCAAGATTAAGTGAATCTCGAGACGAGTCACATCATTAAAAACAGATACAAACCTAAAACACAGATTAAATATATTAGCTAACAAAATAATACACCCACCCACATATTACCCCCTAACTACAAATTAAAATTACCCCTTCAGAGGGTAATATGTGGACCCAATAGACACCCGACCGACCCGCACCGTCTCGTCGCCTGGTGTCCACTGACAGTCCACTCGTCGTCAGGTGAAATTCGGGTGGAAGCCGCGTAACGCGTTGATACCAGTAAACTTTGCGTACTCAATGAGTGGAATTTGCTTTAAAATATACGTTATTTTTTATTCTTTGCGCCATTGGTTCTAAAATAATAAATATAACTTCCCAACATCAACCGTTGGGCCACGGCCCGCAAGGCATGATCACCTCGCCTGGTCGGAGGATCCTCCCTTTGCCTTTCAGGGACATGACACCCGTTCCTCCAAAGTGGTGACCCGACGCGATTAAAAGCAACCTCTACGGCCTCATCAGTGTCTAGGCACAGCACACTGCACCTGCGGTCCACGTAAGAAGATAATTTCTCTCCCGTCTACGCAGCAGCCAGCCACTGCACTCAGTTCCGACTCACTGAACTACTCACTACTGCCACTGGCACGTTCCACAACAGAGCATAGACAGCGGACTCATCAAGATATCGACCTCCGGTCTTGGATGGGAGTGATGTGGTGACTTCCACATACGAAGAAACGTACAAACATACAACAGCGCCATCTAACGAAGACACACGGAGTAACTGCAAATCCTGTATCGCGGTATTAACGATTCTCCCGCCGATTAGCATATTTACAACTTCCAAACATCAACCGTTGGGCCGCAGCCCGCCAGGCATGTAAAGATGTCCTATAGCATATAAAGATGTTTTATGGTATAGTCTCATCATAATAATAGTTTAATTAATTACTCCACACTGACATTAGCAGTAGTATCTACATTGCACCCGTGCAAAGTGGGAGTGGATCGCTAGTATATATTGAAAGAACACTAGATGGTGACCATTTGATTCCATGCGAACAGTACTATATCTCATAGGGATTGAGGTTCAGTAATGGGATTCAGCCCCCTGGGCTGGGTCCCTTTCGTAAGATTACAAGTAGGTAATCAAATTAGAGCTTGTTGGAATTCTGACTCCACAAATATGACCCATCCTGAGTTAAACGTCCTTCCTCGCACTAGATACCCTGTTTTCCCAATATTTTACTAAAAAATTCCTCCAAGCAAGGGTTTAATAAAATGTCGTTTTCTTCTTAAAGTCTAGAATAGACTTCTTGCCATCCCGGTATTGAACCATCACTCTGACAGAATTAAGTGTACGTTATAAAGTTAGATAGTAGGTAAGTATTCAATGAAATAAACAATTATTTGAATACACACATAAAGCCTGTGCATTCAAATCTTTCTTTTGTCTTTACTTTGAGTTCTAGTTACTAAGTTACAGTCTTTCCTATAGTGATCGTAGGTAGTTGCCCAGATGAGTGGCTTTAATTAGACTTGAAATCTGCGGTGCTCTATATATCTTTCATCTATAAACCTTGGCAGCAGTGTTTTTGTTTATTATCCTGCATCCATACTTTTAAAATAAGTATAATACAACAGAATATTTACTGTAACAATTTAGCTTTTGAGTGGTTACCGTTATCCATATTTTTTTGTATAAACATAGTGTTTTAAACTAGGTAACGTAGGTCTAGTCCCATGCATAATGCTCTCTGAAGTTGATGAACTGTAGGTGCTTTGACTAGAGAGACAATTCCATAGTGTTCCTACCGCATATAAAATAGTGAAAAAAAAAATATCTTTCGTTGATGTTGGTGATAACTTCGCCACGCTGATGAAATAACAAAAGTACCTATACTAGATAACTCGTGCTGATATTATTCTCCGATTCCTAGTAGAAGAAAACGCTAACTCTTTTGTGTATAATTTTAGAGAGTGAACTTTAATATACAAACTTCTTGTACGGAAAGACTCGTTGATTTCAAGTAGTTTGGTACAGATTATTTCCATATTACCTTACAGCTTTCAATGCAAATATTTGTACGCCTAAATCCGAGCTAAAGTAAAATATCAACTTTAGTGTTTGTAATTGTGATTATATAATTAATATTTCAAACACGTGTACCGAAAACGTGCTATGCAGAGTAAATATAAATTGGGATAGTTTCTTCTAGCCACCTGATACGTAAGTTTGGGCAGATAATCCTTTTTAACGTTAAAAAAACAGTATTCAATAAGTAAGCGTGCAAGACTTGAACTTCTAATGCATTAATTATAATTCTTCTTTTCGTAAGCGATGCTACGTTTCATTAAGTAATTTATTTTTCTTTTTTCCTAAGTATAAATTAACAGAAATGAAGTTTCTGTGAATAAAAGAATAACACCCAATGTTACTAAAATGGATAAATTCCATTACAAATTAGTCTGGTTCAGAATTTATAGGCAAGATTCACAGTGGCAAGGTTGATATACCTATAGGTACTAACTTTTAAAACTCGAAAAATATCTGGTAATTTAAGTACGTAGGTATGTACTATTTCATACGTTTGTTACAAGTATGTCTTGATCGCATTATTTCCTGTAGAAATAGTCCATCTATAAGATAGTCTTAAAGTGTATCTGTGATTGAACAATTTGGTTTTAGTAATGTAATGAACATATGATAATAGCTGGTTTAAAAGAGAACTATAAAGTAACTAGACTTCTAAAGAAATTACAATACAGATCCTTTACTTTCTTACAGTTCTTAGTAACATGGATTCAAAGGTTTAAAGTGCCATCCAAATTCAATGCCAAATTTCGATTTGTGTGCCATGGAGCCATGCCATCTGTCTAAGATATCCCAGAAAGCCTATTCCCGGAGCTCGCAGCTATCAATGCGTACTAACACTACAGAGTTTTGGCCCTAAAGCCGATATATTGCTGTGTACTTTTTGCCAGTCGGCGCTAGCTCGTTGGCGCTGCAAAACCTACATCGAAAATCTAGGGTTACGAATGCTTGAAACTACGGTGGCTACTTACTAAAGTTTTTTGTCACCGCATACGGGGGTAAAGTAAAATGTATTTTGAACAATGACAATTTTCTGTTGTAAAAGTCTACTGAAACCCCCATTATGACCCATTCAAAATAGTACTTACCTTTTGTTCCCCAAAAAGATAGTTCATTCATTAGTTGTTAAAAACATACATTCAGATTTTGAAAAGATAATTTGTGTAGTAAACAATTGGGTTTATGTGAAGTAATTGAATTGAACAGATCTGTTCAATGAATAATATAAAAATAAATATTACAGAGATGGATGCAGCCAACCATTACATAGTGTAAAGTAAACTAAACAGTGATAATAAATACTTGACATTTGTTTATTCTATTTACATGTAATTGATTGCAACAAAATTTATCTACTGAAAAAGACAAAATTTTAGGCAACACTGACGACACGTCGCTCGCGTAGCCTCAGTCGACGTTCACGTTCGAACTCCTTCATACGCAGAACATAACTGAAAAAAATATCGGAAATATATGTATATATAATATAATATTCTCACACATTTCACACACAGGTGTCTGATCCCAAACTAGGCAGAGTCTTTATTATGGTAACCAGACTGCTGAAAAACATACTTGTGTATTTCTAAGTACATACATATTATAAATAAAGTACACCCAGACACAGAACAAATGACAGTGCTCACACAATTATTGTTCTGGGTGGGAATCGAACCCACAACCTCTGTCGTAGCAGTCAGGGTTACTAACCACTAGACCAACAGGCCAGTTGTATGTTCTTACCATGGGCCCAACATGTCACAGGTTTTAAATAATACATGTCACAAAAAGTGATGTGTCACAAGCTTGTCTTTCTGACTATTTAGTTTTTTTTTTTTTGCAAGATGTTTCCGATATGAAGATAATACTATCTCAGAAATGAAATAATATTTCTCTTGGCTGACTTTAATTTAAGGATCAAAACTTGCAGCATGCAGTTCTTACTTGCAGTTATCCTTGAGAAATTACTATTTGTATCACAATTCAAATTCCTTCTGAAATTCCTTCATTCTAGTACCTGTTTATCAAAGTATTTAAAATAGTCCTGTCTCGAGTAGGTAAAATGTATATGTGGTTTAAATATATAATATATATTTGGAATTAAATTAATAGTTTTGAAAGAGTAGTTTTTGAAGACTAAAATAAATTTTTCTACAGTTATCTCTAAAAGTACTGCACTTCCCTGACAAAATAAATTTGATTTTGTGTGATTACACTGTTCACGAACAGACAACCAATTTTCATTGGTTGTAGTGTAGGAATGGTTTCTTTGACAGAAGATGTAATATGGTTAGTGTTGATGGTTAGTCTTATTATATTAATTACATACATTGTGTATGAAATAAAACATGGTTGAAGAGCAGACCTGTGTCTGAAAACACAGGTGAAACTGTAGGGAACTGCTAGTTTAGTTTAAATACAAAAAAATGGTATGGACATGCCAAATGATGTAATATTTTTAATGCTTCACTTTTGAAGTATAAATCCTTCAAAACAACCAACGGACTAATTAGTAGTAGCAGTAGTAATTGTTTCTTTAAAAAAATCAATCCTATAAAAAATGTATTCATTTTTTCATTCATATTCAAAGCCAGTCAAATTATTATAATATTATTAACATAATTTTAAGTGTTATTGTAATATGAATATAATATGTATACTGTTCAATATACTTACTCATCTTTTTCGCAGGTCAAGTAAGCATGTTTCTCATGCGCACACTTGTACAACATTGGCATGTTTTTATAGCGGCAACTTTGGTATTCAAGCAGATGATGAGCGCAGTAGTCACGGTATTCAATTGGGATCTTGGCTGAGATAAGGTCAGCCTCATTAGCAATCATTTCTGGAATGAAATTTTTCTCACTTTAACTATAGAATCTATACATATTATTGTAAGATTGTTGCGCTGTGTACATAATAAGATTTTAGGGTCAAAAAAATTGGCATTCATTTAATTTGTACCATTTTGTTTTGACTGACTTCTAACCTAAACAAAAATTATGTAACTTTTATTTTAATTTAGAATAATTTTTTTATATAGTGCTTCAGGTTTTCGGATATAATTTTACACAGCTGCCTATTTTTTCCATTATGGTCCTCTAACCTCTTGGTTTTCTCTGATAAGAAAATCCAGCTTGAGGCTCGAATGTTGGTTTATCATCCATGTATAGATCAACTTCCCTAGCACTGTATGATCCCATAATTTGGCCCATGATTGCAGGTATCGTTGGTAATTTACCAATGTGCCTAAATCCTGGGAAATAAGTGGCTTTGTTAATCAACTTTATCACTTCGTAATTTTTTTTTTTTTAACCCAACAGCCCAGCGCCAGCTGAGTGCAAACTGAATGTTGCCATGCATTGCCTGAATATTACATTATTTTCTAAATGAATGCTGCTACTCTGACACTTGTTTTCTCGACTCGCGATTACAGGCTAACTGTTTATAGCAAAATAACTCGACAAGTGATAGGATTAAAAAAATATCTTAGCAATTTCGTAATATTTGTTACAAATTCTAATATTTTATCCTATTTTTATATTTTATTCACATTGCCCTTTTCCAGGTTCAAGAAAAAGGCAACGTGAATAAAAATGATCTAAAAATGAAAAACCTAAAATTCGTAACATTTAATTACACATTCACAATACAAATTATTATTAACTTTTTTTTTTTAGTATCAATAGGCTGTCAGTATAAGAAGGATTTAAGACTGCCTATCATATTTTTTCTCTTTGTTTCTACCCTCCATAGTAAAATAACATGGTTACGATATTGGGAATTAAAGGTATAAAGCGGAATGTTCATACGAACTTAAAGAATAGCAATTTTCACAATGTAGATTATTATTAATAAAATTATCTTGAAACAAAGCGTTATTAATTAGTGAGAAAAATGGATATAAATAAAAGATTTAAAAGTCACAACTTAACAGTTCTAAAAACTGTTGGTAAGGGAACATACGGGTATGTATTAATAACTTTCTTAGCGATTTTTAGAGTTACTATTAATTTATTGTTAACATAGTCTATAATTGCAATAATATGCACCTAATTATTGAAATGATTATGGGATTACATAGTTTATGAAACAATGTGTTTTTAAGTAAGCATCAATGTGTTTAATTAAAAATATCAATATTACTGAATCAATCTAGTTATTATTAATAGGGTATTTTACTCTATATGAGAAAAATACTAAAAATATAATAATATTAATGAGATAGCCTAGTCAACAAGAAGTCGGAAAATGTTACTTTTAGTACATAAAATAGCCAAATTAATTTTAATATATAAAAAATAATATTTAAAGATTTCAGTCTTTTTTAATAGTTAAGTTATTTAGCACAATAAAACGATAAATGTTAAAATTATGTAAATCAAAAAGAGTCGGTGTCAACAGTCAACTGATCACATCTGTGTACACAGCCAACTGATGTCATGGTCACAGAGCAACATGTTGTCCACCGCGTCTAGTGGTGTACGCGTTAAATTGAAAATGTTAAATTAATATCCCTTTTTATAGTACTTATCGATTGCATAATATTTTGTTTTTTTTTAGTGGTTTATTAGCACTATATTATCGAATTGAACTTTTAAAAATGAATGTAGTAAAATACTTATGTCTAAATGTACTTATATTATCATGTAATTTTTAGGAATGTTTATTTGTGTAAACGCAAAGATAATACTTTGACAATTGTAAAGGAAATAGAACTAAACATAAAATTTCAAGACCATGAACAGGTAAGTATCGATTATGTTGTGATATATTTTATGTTAATTAAAATTAATATAAAATCGACACTACTTCTTGTTACAGGATATCATCAATGAAATTAATATTCTGTCATGCTTAAATCATGTAAATATTATAAAGTTCTACTCATACTATAATACCGACAATCATGTTATGATATCCATGGAGTACGCATCTTCTGGTAATTTAGCTGAATACATGTACAAACGATCCCCAAAACTGTTGCAGCAGCAGGTGATGATGTTATACTCAGTATTTCCTTTCTACTTTACTCTGTGTTAAATAAAAGATTTAGTTTTATGTATGTGTGATAAGAGACGAAGACTACGGTCTTGTCACTTCACACTTACCCATTTTATGCATAACACTAAACTAAACTGGCGATGTTTACGCAATTTAACGTTAATAGCGCGGCCTAAGGAGATTGTTAGCACCTACTGAAACTTCAAGAAAATACTCAAAATTTTGTATATTTATTTTTTCTTTTTAGGAAATCCTGTTCTACTATTGTCAAGTGTTATTGGGTGTTGACTACATTCACAGCAAAAATATCATTCATAGAGATTTAAAAGCAGAAAACATTCTTTTGACTGGAAAATGCGGCGTGGTGGTCAAAATAGGTGATTTCGGCATTTCTAAAATGTTGGCTAGGTAGGTATGTTTTATTTTGGTGAAAAGTGAAAAGCAAGCTTTATACATAGGAGACCGATTTAGTACTTTACAACTAATCCGTTGAAGTAGCAAAAATGTCCAGCTATCCTAAACGTTCAATTAGCAATACGTTTAAGTAGCAAATCGTCTCTAAAAATCCAAGTACAGTCGTAATTGTTATTTGTTAGAAAAAATACGTATCATGTTTTTTTTTATATTACTTCTTAAGAATTTAGGATTCTTTTGCTGTCCAACATTTCTCAATAAATGCATTTGACAACTTTCTTTTCTGTTAGCTTTTTAGCTCCCTTTTTTACTTTTCATTGAATATTATATTAAATTTTCTTCATTTGTTGCCTTCAAATATAATAGCTTTTAGGATTGTTGTCAACTGTTAACACGGCTAATGTGATCAAAATACAACTCTGACATTAAGATCTTCCGAACTTTTTTCACTTACCCTCATCCTACAATATTTCTTTTTTAATTACTAATGTCAAATGGCACCTGACATTTGGAAAAGTGTTGCCACAATATTATTTTAAAATCCATCATGAGTGAAGAAAATAGTGGAAAACCGGCTGAGATGGGAAACATAGATCATAACAATATTAGCAATATAAATGGCAGCAACAACAAAAGGTTGGTACAGCAAGCTTTTTATCCAGGTTTGTTCACGAGACAAAGATCGTCTTCCCTAGAAAATAATCAATCCAAAACTCGTCATACCTCGGGAGACCAACCTGTTGATACAGAAACAGAGACAACAGAACCTTGTCCTCGAACATGGCAGAGAGTAAGAGAGAGAGAAGAAAGCCTGTAAGTAAAAATCCTAAGAGGGAGAAAACAGCTAACAACTTTTCTCCTGAAACAGTGAAAACCTCTAAAAGATTCACACAATAGATCTTATTGATACTGAAACTGTACCCAAAGAGAAACGTCCCGCCAAACCCCCACCAATAGTATTGGTGTAGAAGATGTCAATAAGCTCATCGAACTACTTATAACTGTAGTAAAAAAAAACAAAATTTTCAATCGAAACCAGTTATGAATAAGTAGCTTGGATATAGAATAGAAACTCATAAACAAATTTTAAATATGCGCGGAAAAATGATTTGATTCGTCATACCTTTAATGGAAAAGACCAAAGGTGCTTCAGAGTTGTGATACGAAACTTGAACCCGTCAACACCAATGTCTGCTATCAGAGAAACTATCGAAGTTACGGGCATCATGGTCTCAGGGGAAATCATTAATGCAAGATTTGGGCCTGATAAAAAACCAACGTCAACATTTTTTGTAAATATTGCACCTCGACCGAATAACAACTACTATTTACTCAAATATATATACCACCAATCAGTTGTTATTGAGCATCCAAAGAAGCGAACTTCAATCGTGCAATGCCAAAGGTGCCAACAATATGGACATTCCAAATAATATTGTATGCGCCCATATCGCTGCGTAAAATATGGACAGTCCCACAAAACATCTGAATGCCAAAAACGTGACCTCACTACTCCCGCCCATTATGCACTAAGTAATGGTCCACATCCAGCGAACTATAAAAGGTGCGAAGTATACAGAGCAATTCTGCTAAGACGATCTAAGCCAACACGTTCAGGTGCAAGAAGTTACCAAACGCAAACACCTGCGGCCGAAAATACTGTGAATAGACTAGTGCCAAACTGTTAAGGTAGCTCAAAATCCCGGGGAAGCAAAGAAAATATACTCTGATGTTACTCGAATCAAAATGGGACCAGCTCAAGGAATACCAAAACCTTTGAACTTGGAAGAGATTTTAATCAAACAGACTGAAAATTTGACATAATCCTACAACAGTTGAGGACCTTAATGATGCTCATTACTTGTTGATAAATTGACAAAAGGACCGCAATTCGAATGGCAACATGGAACACAATGGATTAGCGCCAAATAAAGATGAAGCAGAAACCCTTGGTACCGCCAAACTTGGACTTGCTGTTGATATCCGAAGCTCACTGTGTTGCTGTCACAAATATTAAATTTAAGAACTATGAGTGCTATTTCACTCTTCACCTGGATGGTTCCGGATATTCTGGTACTGCGATTGTGGTCACGAGATCGCTAAAACATCATGTAATGCCTGAGTATAGAACCTGCCACATCCAGGCTACTATAATAGCAGTTGAAGACAGAAATGACTACTTCAATATTTCCTCAGTGTACTGCCCACCCAGACATAAGATATCTGCAGAGATGTATAGAATTCTTCAAAACACTTGGTAATAGATTCCTTGCGGGAGGGGACTGAAACGCCAAAAACAGTTTCTGGGGATCCAACCAGAACCAGGGCAGACAGCTTAAACTTAGTGTAGAGGCGAACAGCTTAACTACAATTTCCACATGTGAACCAACGCACTGGCCGACGGATGTCTCTAGACTGCCAGACCTGATTGACTTTTTTATCACTAAAGTTTTGTTCTCACTATGTTAAATGTGATTCTTGTTATGACAGCTCCTCGGATCACAGACCAGTGCTGCTTACTTTAAGTACAGAGATTATAGAACATGAGTGTGTACAACAAAAAACAGACTGGTACTCATTCAGAGGATATATTAATGAGAACCTTTAGTCTGTTTTTTGCTGAAATTAGCTATTAAGACACCAGATGTCATCCAATTAGCGGCCGAATATATTACAAACCTCATACAGGAGGCTTGCTGGAGGAGTACACCACTATTAGATACTAAAAAAGATACAAAATTACCGTCTCGCAATAAAAAAAGCTGTCTTAAAAAGACGTAGACTGCGCCGCATATGGCAACAGAGTCAACTTGCGGCTGACAGAGCCAACTTCAACAGGCAAGCATCATATTTAAAAGATATTATTAAACTTGGCAGAATAACACTCTTGAGGCTCAACAGGCATCCCTAACGCCGACTGCAGCCACGGATTATTCACTGTAGAAATTTACGAAATACTACGATAGACCACAAGTGGCAAGGTCCTCACTTAGAAAAGAGTGCGGCTGGGCCCACACGCCGCAAGAAAAGGCCGACCTATTTGCACATACATCGACTGTCTTTACCCCGAATCAGGTCGGTGACACTAATACCGAGACAGAGGTAGAAGCGGTTCTCGCTCAGCCTTTCCAAATATCGCTCCCGCCATTCCCGGTGTCGGAGAAAGAACTCTGCAAAATCATACAGGGCCTCAAAGTTAAGAAGGCATCAGGCTATGATCTTATTACGATGGAAATCTTGAAAGAGCTTCCAAGAAAGGCGTAAGTGTTTCTAACAATGATTTATAATGGAATACTAAGATTTCAATTCTTTCCAGACCTTTGGAAGGTGTCACAAATCCTTATGATACGTAAAACAAGGAAACTGGCAGTTTTATCCAAGATCTGTGAAAAGGTTATTTTTCACCGGATTATACTCATACCGGAAAATAATACCATATTCCCTACCTATAAATAATATTTTACCTTACTGAGAGAGTGTTCCAAGTTAAAGAGTCTGGATCAGCATCGTGTGCGTTGCCCCAGCTTAAAAAGTTCGAATTTCATTGTTTGAGTTTAACAGATATTCAGTGTATGACGTCGTGTAATTGTGTATGGTAAGTAAAAATTTGTGCATCCAACCATTGCGGAGTTATTCACGAAAAACTGAATAAAAAAAGTGCCGCTAGGACAACGTTGTCCCAGCCCCACTTTTTTATTCTTTGGACGTAGAAGAAAAAAAATGGTATCAAAAATTAGTGTATGACATGAGGTAATTGTGTATGTTTAAATGAAATTTGTGCGTCAATAAACTGCGAAGATATTCAGGTTTCCGCTGCAACAACGTTTGGCGATTTGCTAGATTTCATATAAAACGCTTTTCTAGAGGGCTGTAGATTTTTTCTAAGACCCTCCTTCTAAGAATGTCCCTCAAATACAAAGGGATGATCCTCCGACCAAGCGAGGTGATCATGCCTAGCGGGGCATGGCCCAACCGTTAATGTTTGGAATTTGTATATATACTAATCAGCGAGAGAATTCTTCATATCGCGATACAAAATTGACAATTCTCATTCAGGAGTTACTCCGTAGTTCGGTGTGTCTTCGTTAGATGGCGCTGTAGTATGTTTCTGTTTCTTTGTATGTGGGAGTCACCACATCATTCGCCTTCAAGACCGTAGCTCGATAAATTATAAGTCAGATGTCCCAGTGAGTTGGGGCTGAAGTCCGCTACTCCCAGTGCATCGGGATGACGTACGGTGCGCGGTGCTGAGGTGAATTCCCCAGTGAGTCGGGGCGGTTGCTGCATAGTGGCTGGTGGCTGCGTAGACGGGATGGGACGGGTGGCTTCTTACGTGGATTGTAGGTGCAGTGTGCTGTGCCTAGATGCTGATGAGGCCGTAGGGCAACCAGGCTGGAGCGGTCGCTACCTGCAGGTAGTGTCCCTATTGTGGTCGAGGTCGCTGGCTGACTGAGACTTGATTACCGCTCATTGTTGTGAGAGTGTACACGGCGGTTCTGATGGTGCTTTCAATCACGGCAGGGTCACCGCAGTGGAACGAGAGTCATGTCCCTTCAGCACAAAGGGAGGATCTTCCGACCAGGCGAGGTGATGCCTGGCGGGCCGCGGCCCAACGTTTAATGTTGTATGTATGCTAATTGGTAAGAGAATTGTTCATATCGCGATACAGGATTGGCAAGTCTCACTCCGTAGTTCGGTGTGTCTTCGTTAGATGGCGCTGTAGTATGTTTCTGTTTCTTTGTTGTATGTGTTAGTAGCCACAATAGGTTGCCTGTTTTATATCCGGGAGTCACGTATTAACTATTCCCATAACACTAGTTGTTTTATAAATTAAACCCAACAAACCTATTCAATTCTGAAGAAAAAAATCTCGTCCCTATATTAGGAAAAACAGATCTAAATATTTTTATATTCAAGTGTCGAGACGGTATGAGAATTAGACGATTTGCGACATAGTTGTTTCAATACTTAGAAGTTTTGCTACTTAGACCTCTTGATCGTAAAGCGATTTAGTCATTTAGTATTTTCTCTAACCCTGCTGCTGCTGTAAACAAGTAATCATTTTATCTTGATATGTCCGTAGCTATTTAAAGTCCCTCACAGTGTGAAGTAGGGATTTTATCTCTTGTAGGTACTCAATAATAAAACCTAGTAGAAAGTTAATTGCATTGCATGCTACAATATTTTTTGTTCTTTGATTTTGATGGAGTCCAAGCTTCATAAGTATTATTAAAGCCAAAATAATATATATTGATCTTATTTATACTTCAGTGCCAAGAAAACTTCCACAGTCATCGGCACCCCATATTACTTAGCGCCTGAGTTGTGTGAAGGCAAACCATACGATAACAAGAGTGATGTTTGGGCTTTAGGTTGTCTACTCTATGAGATGTGTACACATAAAAGAGCTTTCGAGGCGGAGGTAAGGATGTCGATTGTATTAAATTATTTCAAAAAAGTAGCGCAGGTGTGTACCTATTGCACCACGCGCAGTGTAGGTACCTACTCACACCATCCTTCGTAGTTTGTACTAGGTACTTGTTTTAAACAAATAACAACTACCTTTAAGATTTTGCATTTTGTACGAAATTTTCCAAGTAGGTACCTACCTACTTACTTAGCTTACTCTGACCTACCTACCTACCTAGGTAGGTATGTCAGAGTAAGCTGAATCGTGATTTATATTCTTCTAATTATTATCCTTTATAGGAGTACATATACTTGGTACTACTGTACTGTTACTACGGTATTGTATACCTATAAAAATTACAGCTTGCCAGTTTAGTTTCTTACAATAGGTACGGTCTTCTTCCTAGTACCTAAAGTAAGCCGTTGATGAATGTACGAATAGATATACGAACAAGCAGAAGCTTTAAGGAGTCGTTCTTAGACATTGGAACCGTAACGAGGGTTAAGGACCAAAACATAATAAAGGTTGCTTGGAAATGATCATGGGTCAGAATAGAGTAAGTCGCAGCGCCGGGTCCTCATAACAGTCATCGGAGTTAACCTCTCGCTACCGCCCGTCATACGCTCCATAGCCGGTAGTGACAGATGTTTTACCGCGGTCGCATCCTTCTGTGAAGACGTCATCTCGCAGAAGGAGGCGGCGGAGAGGGCTCGGGAGGATGACCTCCACTCGAACCCAATTCGCTGCCGACGAACCGTGCGGCGGAGGCGCGTTTACCAGCGCCCAATGCCGCCTTGAGTGAGGCCGCGGGTGGACGGGACGGGTTTTCCCCTCCAGCAGCGAGAAGGCGACGTCAGAGTGTGCCGGACGTCGCCTAAATAGAGAATTTACCCGAAGCTGGTGCCCGCGCCGTTGCGGGCAGGTACTAAGAGGGGTCCGGATGTCATATAAATAGCAGTTCCCTGATCCCTCCTATTCCAGGCGCACAGTGGCACACCGTGTGGTTTTAGTCGATCCGATTCCGACACCGATCACCCCGCCATAAACCCCGGTGGGTGACGGTCCGAATGGGTTTCCACACGTAAAAAAAAAGAGTAAGTCAGAATAGAATGAGGCCAACACAAGGCTTTGGTAGATTAACACTATAGTATTGTCGATGAAGAGGACTGTATTTTCAGGAAATGAAGTTATCGGTTTGTTGCTTTGAAACGGGCTCATGGCGTACAGAATATCGTCTCATGTCGAGCATTCTGTACTAGGTATCTTCCTTGTGTTCCCTGAGGTTACGCTTCCGATCTGTTAGGACAGTTTCTTATACTGTACATACTGAAAGTTGTGATGTCTGATGACTTGGAAAATCTGGTGAATTGAGAATGTAGTAAACTGCTCATTAGGGCAGTTATAATCCAGCGATATTACAGAAATTGAGTTTCTACCAAATATCAAAATAAGAAGAGAATGCACTGATCTACTATTAGAAAAGCAGACATATTGGGAAAATGTGATTTTGAAATTTGTTCATTACGGGATCAGTACAATATAAGAAACTGTCCTAACAGACCGGCAACCACTTTACTCGTCTGCATCATTATGACAGCAATTATTATAAATGACTAATATGCCTTCATTAGTTAGGTACCTACAGCTTTTTTCTTCTTCTTTTCCAGACTTTAGTGGGATTAGTAAAAGCAATCACTAGCGGCAGTGTCCATCCACTTGACTTGACAACATACGATAGAAGCATGCAGGATCTTGTGGACTCCATGTTGTCAATCTTACCTGATAAAAGACCAACTGTGAAGGAGCTGATGGGACGAAGGGTACTCCTGCCAACTATTTATACTATATTTTTGGACGCCGGCAACGAAGACCTATTATATTTAAAAGTTAAAGAATTTAATTAATAAAACAATGACGTAATAAAGTGAAATGTTTTTTATTTGAAAATAATATGTGTAACTGATAACAGTTTCAGTAGGTATGTAGTTCTTTTCAGATATTATCTGATCTCATCAACATTCCAAATTAACATTCTACAACTTTTATAATAGTCGTTTAACATTATAAAAGCTTAAGCCTGTAATATGGAACTCTTTGTATCTGTTCTTTTGCTTATTAATCTTATCGCCGTGTAGTACCTCTTTCAATCGCAAAAACTCGATATTATAAATAAAAAAAATCTGTTCTTATCAGCTTAAACGATCACGATTGTAATATTAAAACTTAAGGAATAAGGAAATATGCTTATGACTGTAATATCTGTTCTTGCAGCCACATGTTAGAGAAATATATCTATATTTTTTAGTGTAACCTCTTTATTGTCCATTAGATTGATCAGTCTCCATTTCTTCATCCTCTTCTTCTGAAAACAGAAAATATAAAACACAATTGTATGAGTTACGAAATAGTCGTAAGAGAGTTTATAAGTTCATTATAAGATTGGATATGTAACGTCGTATACCATGCCCATTAGCGTTTGATGTACCTACTGGCTAATGATTTTGTCTTTTAAACAAAAATATCAATTGAATCCATCTTTTTGTATTAGTTGCCATTATTCATTGCTTGGATTGGATTACAAAATGTAACCAATCTAACATAGATAATTCAGAAACTATACAGAATAAAAACAAACAATCGAACAACAAACAATCAGCCAATCGCATATCTACAGTTTGAATGATTTTTATACATATTTTTTTAACTTGTTTTACATTGTTGTGCTTATAATTCAGCTACTTTATGTTGTTATTTATAAACCTAAAAAAGCATAATTATCACAATTTTTTTTTATTAATCGATAATAATAATAATAAACCTGAAGAATTATTTTCAAATTGTATATGTTCAGACCCGAACTAGGGTTATAACAGATGTTATAACCTTAGTTCGGATGTTTTTGTTAATTTAATAGTACCAATATATCATAGGTAACAACGAAAGTCTTACGATTGCCATTTGGTTGTATCTGTGGCTGTAATGGTTTTTGACCAGGGATTTGGCCCGACTGCAGCATTCTGGTTAACCTTTCCACTTCCTGTAGAGATGATGCATTCTTGATGGCCTCTCGTATTTTCTGGATCTCTTGAGGATTGAGATCTGGAATATACATTGTGAATGAATGAAATCTTAGTTTAAAATTTACCAACATTTTTGTAAAAGTGTTTTTATTAAGATGTAACATGCTGAATCCACAAAGTTTATCAAAGATTCATGGTACCTACTTAAAGTATCCATTTGTAAGAAACAGTAAAATTAATGATAAATAAAAATGACACTTTCAGAATTAAAGTTCTATACTTACTAGTAGTTTTAGGATCAGGCATATTTCCTCCAGGAACAAAGGTTTTGGCTTTTCGTGCTATTTCTTTCTGCATTTCTTTTCCTTTTTTGCTCTTAAACAAGGTATTTGCTTCATCTCTTTCTTTCTGTTTAATTTTTCTAAAGTCTAATAATCTTAGCTCGGGGAATTTAAATGCTACGTAAGCCCTAAAATTTAAGTTTAATCTTTTTAAAACATATGTTATTGCTCAACTGATGCAGAATAGGCCTGTAGTAAAATGAATTAACAACTAATTTATGTTTGGAGTAGGGATCATGAAGATATTACATATTGTCACATAAGTTCTAACACTGTGGAACTTTTACTCTCTGCTAAATATGTTTCATATTGTAATGTAATCAAAAACACCATAACCGTTTTATTCCTGAAACATATTTCTGTTACGTTAATCTGTCTTAAGCTATTATGTATCTGATTTCTATACAATCTGTTTACAAATATATATATATATATATATACCGCAGCCTATGCTTGTCCACTGCTGGACATAGGCCTCTCCAAATACAAATACTTAGGATCAATTCGCTTCATTAGGATTCTATTATTTTAATCATCGTCATCATCTCTTCAGCCGAAAGACGTCAACTGCCGGACATAGGCCTACCAAAGACCATTTAATATTTTAAAGAAAATTCTTTGTTCTTTATAAACAAATATGGCTTACAGAAGACTATGAATTTGGAATATGTAATGTTTTTATATAGAAGAAGGCGACAAAGCTACAATTTTTAAATAACATGTGTTATAGCCGTCAAGAAAGTTTATATTGGTCAATTCTCATAATTAAAATCAACTCTCGATCTTACAACTGTTAAAAGTAAAGTATTAAACATCCAATGTCAACTCTGATGTGATTATTTCATATTGTGAAAATGAAAAAACGCCTTACTTACTTACCGCTTAACTTCTTCGGAATGAGTTGGCAGAACAGTTACAACGCTAGTACCCGATGTGTATTTACAAAATACACGTGATAAAAAATTTCAATTACAAGAGTTGGTCCCGTCATTATGACGTTTATAAACTATGAACTATGACAAATTTGATATTTTATCTTTGCACCTGGGACAGCCTGCCTCATGGCATTAGGTCCGCTGTTGTACAACATGTGCATTAAGTTTAAATAAATAAAATCAAATTGAATCGGTAATTGCCTAGTCTTAGTAATACTTTACTAAAAAATAGAGGTCACGAGTTGATTGGAACTGAATTTTGGCTGAACCTTTATTATGAGAATTGGCATTCAGTTCATCTTTAGTAAGTTTAAGTCCTTGATGACATATGGCCTAAATTAGGTGATTGGGGAAGATACCATTTAAAAAAATATATTTATAAAATTGTGTAATGTCTGTCAAACTCATATGTTACATGTAAAGTTATAATATTTGCCCAGACTAGGCTTTAAAAAAAAAGCAAAAAAAAAGGTGGATATAAAGCCTATAAATTATTTTTTCTGTCAACAGCATTATGTTGTTCTCACAGAGTGCAGAAGCTATGTTTTTCAGCTGTTTTGTCTACATTATAAAAATATTTGAGGTCTTAATTACCTGTAATGTTGTTTATTAGCAACTGGGTTGTGTAAAAGTGACAAAGTTTTGAGCTTTGGTAAGGTGATTAGAGGATCCAAGTCACCAAGTTCTTGAATGTTGTTATTAGTCAAAATGAGGGATTCTAAATTGGGAATATATTGTTCCAAATTTTCACCAATTCTCCTAAAAAAGAAAATAAAAGACATACAATGCTATTTATGTATCCTTAACTGGCCAGTTACAGAACAACCGACAACGCCACATATCGGCCGAAACAACTCGGAATTTGGAAGATCATAAGATTGAATTAACGGGTCATCCGCCATACAGCCTTGACTTTGCCCCCAACAACTTTTATTTATTCCCAACCGTGAAGAATAAATTACGTGGTCACCGCTTTTCGAGTCGTGAATGCGTTTTCCAACTTGGTGGAAAATTGGTTCCAATGTATGCAAAAGTGCATGGATCATCATAAGATACTCTTAACAACTTATTTGGTTGCAAATGTAAAGCACTGTAACTTGTATGTATTAAATAAGTTTAGAAATTCTATAGGTAGGAGGTATTATATGTTTCTATAAAATAATATAAAGTAGATCAGATACAAAATGATTTGTACCCTTTAAATACCATAGATAAAACTTTAAAGGCAGAGATAATATCTATCTCCCTTGTTTTTTACTGTTAAGGCTACACTAAATACACTGGAAACAATACACACTGTTCTAGACCAACAACAAACAACACTTATGAGACTTACTACCTATATGGAAGGAAATCAGTAGGCAAAACCAACAGTGATTAACCCTGGTTTATCACTATTGATTGTGCCTACTTGTATATACCCCCTTTAATAAACATTTCAATTCGACAATTTTGTAAGAATTTTACAAGTAAAACATTACAAATATCGCCATTATAACTACTGTTGGGAATCATTTACATGTGCAAAAAACGCCTGTAGGTTTCGATGACAATATGGTATCTACAAATTTGTAATTGTAAGATACAAATTACATAAAATGTAAGTTTTTGTTGAAAATTCTTTAATTGAGGGTAGATTTGAGAAATCTTAGTTTTAAAATGTTTAGAATTGGTTTAAATCTGACATCAAAAGTAAAGTTTATCGTTTTACAGAAAACTTGCTGTTGACGTTCATTAATCATCACTACTTCAATTACTTCCACTACTAATTGTTAGAAGTATTTTTTAATGTATAACACTTAAATTTCTTCACTGAATAAATTGAGGCACAAAATTGTTAAGTTCTGACACAAGTCGAGTCCTAATGTCGGAATTGCTTTACTTACAAATTGTAATTACAATTATGCATTCAATAAAACAGCTTTTCTTACAAATATGTAAATTGTCACTTGTAAAGAGAAAATGTTTATTAAACAGAAACTTGTGGCTTTTTTACTCGTAAAATACAATTACAATTTGTAATGTTTATTAAACAGGGCCCAACAAGCTCAGCTATGAGAAGGGTAGTTTAGAATTTTGCAAACTAATACTACTACTATGTTTAAACAGACACTGATACCAGTTTTAACATATATTGTATTATTATCACTACACATATTTAAACATAAAACTATTTGATTTAGTGGTGGCATCACTAGGTGCAGGATTTAGCTCATTTTCTACGGAGATGTAAATCTTAATTGGTTCTCTGTACTTACACAATTCTGTTACTGTTGAGCAACAGACACTTCAATCTTTTCAATAACGGAAATCCATCCAGTTTCCTGATATCATTTTCTGAGAAGTCGATTGTGTCAAATTGGTCTAATGTAGCTCCCATATTCTCAATTTGTGGAATTTTATAACCTAAAAACACGATACATTTAATAGAACATCTCAGTTTTCAGCTTACAATTGTTAATGAAGTATAAATTCCGTTTTCATATTTTTCAGTAAAAAAGCCGATTGTTTTTTACACCTTTTGAAAACTAACCTCTGAGATCTAATTCTCGATCTCGACATGGATTCATATACTGCATAGAATTTTGAATTAATTCTGTTGTTAGTTTAACCATTTTGATAAGATATTAAAATAGCCTTTATTATTTTAATCAATAAAGAACGTTAAAGTGAATTATTCAGTTTCTATCGTTTGTTGTTAGCGTTGGTTGAATTGCGATATTTGACAAACGTTCAGTAATCAGTGTTGCCAACAGTTAAATGAACTCTCTACCAGTTTCAACATCTAAAACCACCAGAATACCACTAACGAAAAACTCCACCACCAGAAAACCCTACTCTAATAGGCACTAAATTTTTCAGTAATATTTTTGTTTGTCATTACGAAAGAAAACCATAAACCTTTTTCTCTCTCTGGCTCAAAGCTTACATTATCCCATTGCCTAAAATTAATAATCCTTCTCTTCCTTAGCACTTTTATCCAATCCCCATACTTCCTTTCCTATCAATCATTTTTGAGGTTTGCGTACACAAACAGTTCTCACAGTTCATATTTCAGCAGCATTTTCTAAGTCCTCTACAATCTTACTACTACAAAACCACAAAATAAAAACACTAGCCGGCCGAAACCACCAGTTTTAATTGAAAATCCGCTAGGTTGGCAACACTGTCATGAATTCAGTCAGTTGTTCAGTGTTACCTGTGTTACGGACCACCCAAGAGTATAATCCATACTAATAGTGTAAATGCGAGTCTGTCTGTTACCTCTTCACGCTTAAACAGCTGAAACGATTTAGATGAAATTTGGTATAGAGATAGTCCGAGCCCCGGAAAAGGTCATATTTGTATGGGGAATCAATAACCGCTGAATCGATTTAGATAAAATTTGGTATGGCGATACTTTGATTCTTGAGGAAAGACATAGGCTAGGGTTTTTACCGCGATAACCAATATTTATGCGGGTGGAGCCGCGGGCAAAAGCTAGTACATTATACAAATACAAACATTACGTTCATGTCGATATTTTCTATGATGCCAACCATAGAGTAAATTAAATATTATGAACTTTGAAGTCGGTATCGAATGATGACCTGCTCACAATTAGAGTTGCTCTCAACTAGAAATAATTTGTGGTAGATTCTCCTTCACTCGAGTATGAATGAATGTAAACGAACTGACAAGAGATTTTCTTTCGTATAAAGATTATATGAAGTACTTACATGTCTTAATTATTTATTTATTTACAACTTTATGCACTTGTGTACATCGGCGGACTTGATGCCCAGGGCATTCTCTACCAGCCAACCTTTGAGTGGTGTAGAAATCTGCATTAGCATAAACATGAGCATATTATGAGCATGTACAAAGTCAACCATCCGGTATTATCTTTTTGATTAAATAGTACATCATTACAATTTTCTTGTTGTTAATATTGAAGCATCAATCGAAAGCAAAAAATGAAAGTCAACAAAAGCAACAAATGGAAGTCGAAAGCAACAATTGAAAGTCTTTAAAACTACTAACGGAATGAAACGAACAAGATTAGATGTTTTACAAACAAGATTAAATTATTAAAAATATAGAACAGAGAAAACGATACCTTACATAATACGATTACGTTACTCCCATGCCAGCGCTCATGAAGGTAGGAGATCGTCCTCTCTCGTTTCCTACCTAGACCTATTTAGTGGACATCACTCAACCACAAAAATAATCACGCACTCTCACTTTGGCCAGAACCATTGTCGCAGCATTGATGCGTCGAGTGTGACGTTGATTCCCGTACTGTACGACGCAAGTACTTTCTGTAGCCGCTCAGTACCTGTGTCAGCCGGTATAAGAGGCTGCCATGCTACTTCACCAGCTAAATCTCCATGATGGGTTTTACCGCCAATTATGGCTTGCCCTGAGCTCGGTCACTCAACTCACTCTTTTCACTCCGTCATAAAAACTCCATGTTGGTAATGTTTATTTTTAAATAAAGTACAAGGAAACAGACATATTCTAACACTTTTTGTCTATTTAAGTTTATTTAAAACTAGCTGAGACCCGCGGTGTTACCCACGTTTGTTGTTATAACCTGCAGCGACGCCGCGGGGTGAAGCTAGTCTTAAAAAAGTAGCCTAAGTTACTCCTTATGTCATCAGCTATCTGCCAGTGAAAGTCCCGTCGAAATCGGTCCAGCCGTTCCAGAGATTACCCGAACAAACAGACAGACAGACAAAAATTGTAAAAAATGATATTTTGGCATATGTACCGTGTAAACATACATATGCATTTAGTAAAAAGTGGTTATTTTAATATTACAAACAGACTCCAATTTTGTTTATTTGTATAGATAGTAGATTATTATTATGAGAGCTACTATAATTACTCCATCTAAATAATGTTGCAGTGGCGAAGTTATTATATTTAGTAACATAGCAACTGCTTTTTATATTTACCTTAATATTCTATACGTATGTTATATGTTGAAGAAGTTATAGACTGCTACCTACCAGTTGTAAAATAAATCTACTGATCGTTATTATCTAACTTCTAAACATTTTTCAAGACTAAGAAAAAAGTATCTGTTCTTAGCGTAATGAACGTTCTATGTAATTTAGTCTGAAACAACGGGAGGAACGTCAAGGCTATAGAAGCGTTCACCGGGATTTACGCGTCAATTTAACATGGTCTTCAAATTTTTACTGCGCCGTAAAGGAGTTATAAAAATAAACTTGTATTAAATGGTATAGAAATCCTGCTAAACTAATGTGTAAAATTAAATGAAATTGTTTTCACCAAGTTTCATTTTTAAGTTATAGATATGACATATTATAGGCAATGCCAAATTACTATCTTTTGTCATTAAAACATAATTACTTATACAATTGAATTCTGAACTTACGAGTATATTATTGGTTGAATAAAAATCTCTTTTAGGGTTCTGTTCGTGATATATCAGTTTTATTTGCGATTGTTTACTAATATTTTGCGATGGGAAAACTGATTGTGATATACTTCGAGTAACAGGAAGTAAAGATTATTTCATTATTGTTTATACTTTCCGAGCTGGACTTGTCTTGATTCTGACCGTTGTCTATGATTAATTGATTGTGCCTGCTTGTTATAACTATAAAATGATTTTGTTTTTCTTTATAGACCTACGTTACTATCAGCAGTAAGTAAGTAAGTAGATCTATTTAAGTAGGTACTCTGGTTATGTATTTTGGACATGATAAGGCTAACGATCAATTTAGAAGGTATGTACCTACTTTTTTTGAAACCTTTAATTGGTGCTGTATTGATTTTGATTTTGCCTTTGATACAGCTCTCATTTACATCTTACGTCTACGGACATTTCCTTCAATATTTTAAATATTTAATTTTAGCACATTGTGTATTCCTATTATCTTTCTTTTTCCCACAACTCAAGTGCAAGTCGTGGGAAAGTTATACATCTATTAATACTCAGCAAAAATGAAACAAGTATAAAACCAATGATCAAGAACAATTCAATACGCAGTTCTATTTGTACCGGCACCGATTGTTGCACATTGCTGTACTGCCAGGGATATGAATTTGGTTGTAAAGGTCGCCCTTTGCCTATTACTACTCAATGAGATAGGTGCTTTTATATTGCTTACTGGCAATAATAACGATCAACCTTTCAAGAAAGTTCAATTTCTAAGCAAAACGAGCAAAAATCAGTCTTTGACATGGTCAAAAGAAAAACAGCCTGTTATGATTCTTGGAGCTGAAGAATATGGAACCAGAAGACGAAGTTCTGTTTATGTGGGAAGATGCCCGTCTGATACTATTAGAACTGGACCATTATGTGTGGATTATGTTGTCCACTAAAATTTTGTTTTAGTAACGATTTGTATGTTTATAAGAGTATTTAAGTATCTTGTTCCCTTAGTGTTCTATATTTTATTATTATAAATAGCAATTGCCGTTTCTAATCTAATTATTGATATTAAAATTTGTTGTTCTACTTTACCTAATTCTTTGTGTATCACAGTTCTAGTGAATCGAGACATGACATATTATGTAGTCCTCAAGGCCACTTCTCTTTCAAGCTAATGCATATTGGCATTAAATGCACGGATCTAGTACTACTGCTACACTAATTATCCCTATTCATATCAATACGGGAAGAAAACGAACGGAAAGATTCTAAACGATGCCGCACATCACTCTAAGGCACTATAAACGTGCTCAAAATTGTGCCACTACCAGACTTATTTACTAAACAACTTAAAGTTAATTTGAGTTATAACAAAGAGTGAAATGGGGTTTTAGGAATGGAAGTTTTAGTTGACGATTGAATTACACTTTCGAACAATGAATGCCGTTTATTAACCGACTTCAAAAACACAAAAGAGCAGGTTCTCATTTTGACTGTATTTTGTTTGTTTGTTTGTTACGCGATATTTATATTGTGGACCAATTTGCAATATTCTTTTTTTGTAATCAAAGGGGTATTTGATTACAAAAAAAGATATATATAGTATTCTCCCAAGGTGGTCCCATTACCACAAACTTAGGATTTGATAATTAAATCGTAGAGAAATTGAGGGAAACCCTCAAATTTTATAGCCCCGACAACGTGTTTTAGCTTGTTTCTCTAACTAAACAGATATTTGCGTTTAGAAGTCGTTATATCATGTAGCTGAGCTAATGATGGAAGCGTCCTTGATCTTAAGGAGTTAGAGAATAACTCTTTCAATAAAATAATCATGTATTGACCTTGTTTTATTCTTTCACGATATTAGTCAGGCGTTTGTGTGTGGTAATAGAGCTAATATATTATGTGCACAAGAAAGTATTAAATGAAATTACAATACATTTAGACAAAAAAAATAATTGTTACGCACTTATTTTCATGTTTGTTACCTCAAAACTCTTTCATTTATAAACCAATTTAGAAAACTCTTTTTTTTATTTGGAACGGTACATTTCCTCTTTAGTCAAAATTAAATGTGAAGAAATACCACTCCTAATGGTGGAAAATTAAGTTATATGGAAAACAACATTTTCGGGTTAAAATTAAAAATTTTACTACCTTTTCTAAATAAAGTAACGGGACTTATTAAACTAATTTTTATACAATATATAGTACATAGTTGGT